CTGAGCGCAGACTTCAAATATTTGAATTAATTTGGCTTTGGCTGTCCAGCATCATCTTAGAATGCGAAATGCGCCCGTAGCAAGAAGGTACGTGAACATTTGCTCGACCCAAGCCCATTGCCGGCCTATTGGAAATGCCTGCTGTGTACATAACACCCATTCCATTTGATAGCGAGTTTCACCATTGGTTTTCTAAACACGCCAAAGAAATCTTCCGCCTATAAATAATATCTTAAGTTACCAGCATTCATGCCGGTTTGTTTGCTTCTTATTTGCTGTACCATTTCCATACCACAGGGATGCATTTGCATTCCTACCATTACATTCATGAAGAAACCAGCACAATTTCAGATCCTATGATGTTGCTCTGTAGTCAGAGCTCCCTGACTGTTCATTATTTCAGCACTCCATAGATTCCCAGACATTTTTTGTGATGTACGTTGGATCTCATGAGCTGATCATAGACACCGCGTTGCTCGGGCCAAAAGGGAAGCTGACAGCTGCCCCATTGCCTTGTTATGTAAAACTAAAGATGATGATGGTGATGATGACTATTTGATCAGGCTTCGTTCCATCAAACGAATCTGTCTCCTGCCCATCTTCATCGTTCGACACATCCGTGAAAAAACTGCGCGTAACGGGCGAGCCCCGGCCGGCGTGGCAGCGCATGCCACACGCACTGCACCTGCATGCAGCTGGGCCCCGACTCACCGGCGCCGTCCAAATTCCGTGGACTGATCCCCGTCGCGGGCAGCAGACGACCCTCACGGGCACGTGAGTCACGTGGGTCAAAGTCAGACGGCCCGCGGTTCGTGGTCGGACTCGGGTCCAGTTGCCCAACACCGGGAACCTTCACCGTATCGGAGGCCCAGGTCGCAAGGGATCGTTGGGCGGCGTGCAGGATAACGGAACGCCGAGGACGCGGCCTCCAGAAGGGCACAGTTCAAGTGCCCCCGAACCTCGTCTTGCGCCTATGCGGCCTCGATTCGGACTGTCTCCGCGCTTGCGGAGGCGAGGGGCCTGACGGGCCTGGGTGCAGGCAGCAGACTCGCCTGACGCCCATGCGCGGCGCCAAATTTGGCGTTCAAGCGCACCGGTCACGGCATGTCGCGCAACACACGCGGGTCAACACCAAGGGCAAAAGTGTAGGTCAAGTTGGGCGCTCGGCGAGAGTCGCTCGAGTGCCTGTCACACACCCCGACGCGCAGCACTGGCGGGATAGGGTTTATAAACCGCGGCAACGGGCGATTCAAGGGCCAGGTGGGGGGGGGGGGAGATAGGTAGCGAGCGGGAGACGCGCCTTCGCGATGGAGTTGGGCGCCCGCGTCCCGTGCTGCCGCAGGACGCCAATCGGGCCCTTCCGAGGATGCGACGTTGGTTTCGGGCCGGTTGGAGGACGCGGAAGGGTGGCCCTCCATAGGAGCTGCAGTGGGTGGCTGTTGTGGTCGCGGATGCCGAAAGGCGCGGAAGGCGGTAGGCGCGGTGGTGGGGGTGGGGGGCAGGCCCAGGTCGAAGGGGTTGTACCCGAACGGGGTGAGGTGAACTCACATCATTTGCAACTCGTCACCCAGGGGTGATTTGGTACGCGTCTTGCGAAAGCCGCCCCGTCCTGGGCACGTGCATGTGAGACTCTTTTCCGTGCTGCGAAATGACCCTGTACTGTCTCCCTGTGTGAGATGACGAGCGCAAAGCGCGTCCAACATTACACGCAGGAAGACGTGCACTCAGGCCAACCTGGGCACGTGCTGGGTGAGATGTTTCTAAAGGGGGTTCCACGATGAGCTCGTGGCTCCCTTTGCGATAATAATCCCCTCTCTTTCCACTTGTAACGTTCGCCTGATCCGCGAAAATGTGCACCTTGTGCGCGGCGCATACTCATCCACTTGGCGACATCCTGGCCCACGTCCATCCCCAGGCCTCGCGGATTCGGCACCCGCCGCAGCCAACGCCGGGCAAAGCATCATTCAGCAGCGCAGCACCCCCTCCCCGTCTGCAAGTCTTGCAGAAGCACCAGACGCGTCCGACTCGTGCCTTGTACTGGACCAACGGGTCGAAGCTGGGTGGACGGTGGGGGGCATTCAAAACGGCCGTTACTAGATGCAGCACCAAGCACTCGTGCGGACTTCCGCCTCACCGGATTGTCCGATTGGCAACGACAAGGGCCCAGTGGCCGAAGGGGAGCGAGAAGTTGGCTGGAAGGGGCAGACGCGCCTTGTCGAAGAGGTTGCGCGCCCGCCTTCCCGTGCAGCAGCAGGACGCCAGTGGCCATCTACCAATCTGCCAGTCGCCATCGTGGACAGGTGATCGCTGTTTCCGGGCGTTTGGAAGGACGGGGCAGGTCTCCACTCGGCGAGGTCGGCTGCGTGTCCGCGTTGCCTATTGGAGGTGCCGAGAGCGAGAAGCCTCACAGCGTTGGGCGAAGCGTGCCCTGACGTCCCAAGAGACTTTGGCAGCGGCCTGCAGTGCATCCTACGACGTGGGCTGATTGGCCGGTGCGTCCATGTTGATGTCCGCTGTGCGGCGCCAGCAGGAACGCCACTTTTTTGCAGTTGCTTTGTGGGCCGTCCCAATCGCTTTGATGCGTTTGCTAGTGTCAAAATTTCGACACTTCTTTAACAAAATATTGGAAATATTTGCGACGCCAACGGCGATGATACTTAAATCTCATTGCTGTTGGCATGTTCTTTTCTACCAATGCTTGCCGCACGTGTCCAGTTTCAAACTTTAGGGAGCACGCTGTGCTGGAACAGGCAGGGTGGTCGTCGCTGGTGGCACCCCGGTGGTGTCCAAGGGTCCTGAAGGTATCATTTTCCGAATGGAAGAACATTATTTGCCACAAGTGGGTGAAGGTGGGTCGGCGACCATTCTTCCGTATTCCTTCAAAAGCTTGGGAAGCGCCGTCACGCCACGTGTTGGCGGTCCTGACTGCAGCGATATGCAGCGCTGCTGTGCGCTCACTTGCACGGGTGACTGACACTAGGAAAAAAGTGCGAAATAACACGTGTTCAAATGCGTACAAAGTTTACGGGTTTGGCTTATTTTTGTTATCTTAGCGTGCAGAACTTTGATGAAATGTGTTTTATGTGTGTTGGCAAAAGTGTTATTTGGTGTTTTTTTGCTAGTGTGAGGTGCACAGTAATTCGTCATTCGCTCAATGAGCGCGCCAGTCGCGGATAGGGCCTGCCTGCGAGTGAGGCATTGCGTGAAACCGCCAATTCGACATGTGCTGAACTCAATGTGCTATTGGGTATTTCACGCCAATTGCCCGTGTGGGAATTGGGCTGCATGTACTAACGTGCCCCACCCCAGTGCATGCACAGCAGAGGCACGGATCAGGGTTGTTTAGGCAACCCTGATCCATGCCTCTCTCCGGATGGAATCTGCTCAAAATTTTGAGCAGATTCCATCCGGAGAGGCTTGAATTTTTCCAACCGTAAGAGCAAGAGAGTTGACAGAACCGCTGGCCTGCGTTCGGTTCTGTAACCCCCGGAAGGAATGTAAAATGCTCCTGTGGCTGCATGGAGCTACATTATTCTGTTCCGTTCTCATAGATTTCTGCCGATTGTGCATTCTCGCTGGGATTTCATTCTACCATTTGATTTCCTTTCCGCCGTTTGCTCCAAGAGCCCTGCATCCACCCTGCTCTTCACATATATTTCGCCTGAGATTATACTTTGGATATACTTGAAGTACGTTTTTAATTAAATACTTGAAGTACATTTTAAGTTTTACGGATGTACTCGAAGTACATTTTGAATCCTCAATCCGCAACCGCTAGCAGAGGGTGTTTCTGGCAGGTCCTGGGCAGAGACTGATGCTTGATCGATGGGTTGCCATTCGCCGTTGGAAGCCACTTTTGATTTGATCAACAGGGACACCTTTGTACCACCAGACCTCAGGCCCAGTCTGTTTGTGTTCCTGTGTCTGCGGCCCCCCTGCACCAATCTCCAGGTAAATGTGACAGTGGGCGTCGCTGGTGAACCGAAAACGGCGAGAAATCAATCCCCCGCAAACACCGGAATTTCAATGTGCCCAAAATGCTCAATAAGGCAAGGCATGTTTGCAGGACTCCGCGATGGACCAGAGTGGTGCTGAGCGGGAATGCAATCTTTGACTCCCCGGCTAAGCTTGGTATGTGTACTGCTGCCCCTGTTGTTCATGCACTTTCGGTTCCAGGTGTTGCTGCAGACATCCCACAGCGTCTGAAATACGCAAGGCAGATGCTTGCCACGTTGTAATTTCAATTTCAGATGTATAGTATGTGCCCAACGAACCCACTCCATCTCTCCCAGTAACCGAAGATTCTTATTTCTGTAGCCTCGAGGTATGTAATGTTTGACCTTTCTGGAAAAATTTCATAGTGAAGCCATGTGGGCACATATATGCCGTGCGGGTCTTGCACACAACACTTTCCGCTGGAAGAGGCACCTGCACGCGGTTGTACAAAGTGCTGGCTGATGTTGGCACAAGCGGCAACTGGCAGTGTTGGCAAAGATTGACAAGCACGCACAGAGTGCTCCAGCAACAGTTTGACAACCGCCGAAGATGAAACTTCGAAAGGCCAGGAAGGCAGATCCTATGGACGTTGTTGCCACATCTGTGGCTCAACATCACAACGTCGACCAGAAAAGACCACACCACGAAAAAAAGCACACCGCTGGGTCAGCGCAGTGGTGATGGTGACCATGCCACGTTCATACGTCAGTTCCCCCACACACCAATATACATGTGGACACACCCGCATCCCAGCACATATTGCGCACATAGCAAAGGACATTTGATGATGACGCCTAATAGCAGACGGCTGTTGACCGTGCACAATTCAGAGTGCACAAATGGGCAATTGCAGAAAATGTGACGACGTGTTATTCAATTGAAGACGTCCCGATGCACCAGCGGCATGATTGGGCTCCATGAATTCTCAATCCTGAAGAAGGCAGCAACCTTGCCCAAGCTCGGAACATCACCGGCACATAGCCATCCCTTGAAATTTTTTGAAATCAATGGGGCACCCAGTCTTCCTGCAAGTTCAAAAAGAACTGTATTAGGGCACAATTTTCCTCGCTTCGCAATTCCCCCTAGCACCATCCCATCCCCCAAGCCTCCAGCCCCCACCCACATGCAAGAATCTCTGCTCATCTCTGCTGAAGGTGGGGACAACACCCGATGACTCAGAGAGTGGCACCATGCTTCTGAGCATTCAGAATGTTGTAGGATAGTGCCTCGGGACTAGTGCGGTGCAAGTTGCCACCTGTGAAGGATGCAGACAAAGAACTGCAGTGTGCACAGCATGCAACGATTGCCAAAAGAGGGCTAAGAACATGTCACACAACGCGCAGTCCCCTCCAGCAAAACTGTCAGTGCTCCATGGAATCCTGCAGGCATCCTGCTATGCAGATGCCGAAGCCTACGGCTGCAGGGGTCAAAGCTTGTGACACCCAGGAGGACAGGTAAAGCAGGGTTTCGCTTTGCAGCAAAACAATGCATGGAAGAATGTTCAGAGTATAAGCAGTTGCGACAAAACGATGGTCACTGATAGGTACCTTAGCGGCCAACATGTCGAGCCAGGGGCGGAGGTGGCCGACCAGAACGCAGGCCAAGACGCTGTTGCTGCAGAAGGACGAGTCACAGCTTGGGCAGACGCCAACGAGAAGGTCCAGTTCCGGGCTGCCCATCGTTAAGGAAAAATTGGGTGCCGTCCAAGGGGGTTCGTCCAGGACCAACATGGCGGAACCTGGTCATTGACAACGGACCAGAAGCCAACCTTGAAAGGGATCCAAAAAGCACCACGACCACAATGCGGATTGCCTTTAAGCAATGACAACCAACAGCAATGTGCAGTGATGAATACCTTAGATTCTGTGCCCAGCGGCAGGGGCTGACGAGATGAGTCTTACTATCAATGGTGCATCCAACCATACGACTGTGGCAGTTACAGCATCGGCTTTGGCCAAATGCGGGCCTGTGTGAGCTGACAACCATGCTTTCTTGCAGGAACTCTGCTGAAGTGCATTAAGAGAAGCCACATCAGCAGAGGGTTTACTCATAAGAGCTTCTGAATGTTGGTCCCATTCAAGCACCTAGATCACACCCCAGTTTTGGAAGAAACATTCATCGCACAGATTAGTGCTTGGACAAGTCAAAATTGCATACATGCACCACATGCATTGCACATATCATAGGCACTCATCTAATATACTTTCTTGAGATTCTTCCACAAACTGTAATTGACAATGTTAAAGTGGGAAGGGACATGCTCATTACGGACTGCATCACAACACAACGAACTCCCGCAGATCCATTTTCAAGACAAAAAATGGTCAAATGTTCAAAAAGCTCAGAAATGTTCAAACGTCGACAGCAAAACGTCAAAAGTGTAGGTGCACCGATGCCCGCAGACACTGACAATTAATTGTTATTAATTTGTGTACAAAAAGCTCAGAAGCGTTTAAACGTCGATAGCAAAACGTCAAAAGTATAGGTGCACCGACGCCCGCAGACACTGACAATTAATTATTATTAATTAGTGTACATGACGGTGAGGCAGTCGACTTCGTCTGGTATCACCAAACAGCAATTATGTTTCCCATTTTTATTGATTAATGGCATATATTTTTCCCATGTGTGTGCCAAGGCATTCTACCAGATGAGCTGAGTTGTGGGAGGGCATCTTGCATAACTTACAAGCACAGTCACAAATTGCATCCAACAACCAGCGCGTCAAAACATTAGCAAGAAAAACCAAATAACACTTTTTGTGCACACGTATATATATGCATTTCATCAGTGTTGTGCATGCTAAAAACGTGGAAATAACCCAGACCCCTAAACTTTGTACGCTGTGCACACGTGTTATTTGGCCCTTTTTCCCAGTCAAAACTGCACGCTGCAGGCCAGCACTGCTCTGGCTCATAGCTGTTGGGATGCGCAGTGAAATGCAGCTGAAAAATCTTGCAAAATGATGACATACCCTGGTGCAGGCCTGTGCATGGATAAGCACAGAACATGCCATCCATGTCGCCTCCGGGGCACAGGACATCATCAACCACGTCATGACGGCTCAGCCTAATCTCGCAACCTTCAGGCTGAATGGTGTGGACACGTGAATTTGGTAGTAAAGGGTAGCCGAAATCGGCGACAGTCGGCCATGGAACACTGACAGGCCTGTGAAGCTTCAGCAACGCAGCGTTGACGCCGACTGATCTGTTGCCTGTCCACGTGGGATGCAGCCGCCAGTCATCGACCCACACCTCCTCCCACCACCAGCCTGCCATGGACACTCCCTGGTTGCAACAGCAACAGTATTATGAAACTGTCACGTTGTTGCCCAACACACAAAAAATTCCCCATCCATGCACAAGGTGATGCTCATGGGAATTGCACCCATGATGTGTTGTGCTCAAGGAAAGCAGGGCAAGCTAAGCCTTTTGTTTGTTACAAATCCACAATGCATGTGTGTTGTAAAGATCCTCCAGATGGCAATGATGGGAAGTGGCAATAACTAAAAGCTTCTGTGGACGTCCATAAACTCGTGAAGGAAGACAAAAATGGTGCTGTATGTCTGCGACGAACAGGTGAGCAGCAAGGCTGCATGCTGGAGAACACTGGATGCATCCTTGTGCAATCTTTTCAGCAGGGAAGCACCACTGAGCAATGCACAAGACAGTACATTGGCCAGTACAGATTCCAGAAATCATATTGGGTAGCAAAGCTCATCGGAGCCCAGCACCCGGAACAAGTGCAAGATGAACTGCACACTCTATTCTGGTCAGGGACATTTCTGCAGGTTTCTCCTTGTTCCTGACAATGCAAAAATATCCAGGGTCTCACTGTGGTGCTTCCGAAATTCGCACATCACACCAATGCCTCGTTTGCACATACAAACATGCACACACACATTTACTGCTCAAGCACGGCATACTTGGACATCAGTCCTCCCTCTGTAGCTTTCGTCTAATGTGTTTATCATGGCGATGGGTCGTCCTCCAAGAGATTCCAAGCACGTTGCAGTTGTGAGGATGGCCCTCTCCCTAATGATGATCCCATTGCACATCTGCTCTTGGCCGTGACCTTTCAGAATAACATGATAGGGGAATCTCTGGACTGGAAGCAACACTGAGATGCCCTGCAAAACACGCAGGCAGCAGGTACATTAACAGTTGCATCCATTCTGACCATCAAAACCTGCAGCAGCGGAAATGTCTTTGCCGTGTTCATTGGCCTGGATGAGCAAGATGGAGAAATTGGTAGATGATCACCCACCGCTGCACTGCTAGTGCCAATGCAGCAGCACCTTGAGCATCGATATTGATCATCAACAAGAACTGTTCTGGTTGCTGCGATTGCTACTCTGTCAGCCGCTTCCCAATGTGCGGAGCCGCTTTTTTCAACACTTCATATCGTCACTCTTCTGAGCTTTGTGGCACTATGCAGTTTGCTGGGAGACAGCACAAGGCCCAAGTCCCTTTATTGCAGGGGAGACACCAGCTTACCAACTGCGATGTGATGTACTGGAGACCAATGTGAACTGAAGTAGACTGATTTTGATGCCCTTTGGCCTTGCAACAACAAGGACAGGCAAATGAGTGCTCACAAGCAGGGACGCACACAATCATAGCTGCATCTGAAGATGTATTCTGTATTCTGACAAAGACACTACAAGCCTGTTGGTTATCTGGCTTCAGGGTTTGGAGTACGGTACCAAGGATCTTACAACGTCCAGCAGGAATACTACAGTACTAACTTGACGACAGCCACTAGTCCAGGCAGAAATGGACACCATCTTCACCACACATGCCAGGCCTGTGAATGCAAATCATAGGTTTGCTTAATGTAGACCAACATTGCACTGTCTTGTGGCGGTTCGGTCAGCGAGTTTGGCAATTGTCAATGTCAACCTTCCATTGAATGAATTGTGGAGTTCGATTTCACCAATATCCATAGAGATTATTATGAACTGTGCGATCCTCCAAACATGGGGCCGACCTATTCGGCAGAGACGAATGGGCATTGTTCTCATCGATGTGCATGGACAGAATTGCAGGCACTGAAGACGGGTGGTTAGAAATGAACAGGGACGCACAAACATGTTGGATGTGCACCTGCCTTTCAACTTCCTCAAAAGCAAGGGCTCTGCTCTGTCTAGTGAAGGTAAATGTACCAATGAGCAGCCTTTCCTGGGCTCACATTTCCCATGCAGGCCGGCAATTGTGGTGGCAAATATTCAGAGCTCTGTGAATGGCCAATCTCCCTCATGCTTACCTTTCCCCGAGCTGGCTGCTCCGTAATGAGAGTTCCAAAGATCAATAACACAATCGCAACCGCGCAGGAATGCACCCGCACTGCCCTTCGCGAGGCCCTGCACAGTGAGCGACAGCCCTCGCTTCAACAAATTCCTTTTAGAATCCAATTGATGCAACAAAACTTCCACTCCTCCATCCCAGACAACACCATGCGCAGTGCAGAGGCCTGGGAAGACCCGACTGGCCGTCATTTGCGACGCCTCTCCGGTGCTGGCCTTCTACAGCTCGCATGATGTGCTCATCAGGCCACTCACCGACACATTATTGGACGGGCAAACACGCACCTCGGCCTGCTGCCGCCATTTGGAGGCAGCCCACCTCCGTGCACCCCCTAGTTCATGGCAAAACGGCACCTGACCGCTGGGCCCGTTGGGGGACTTAAGCGGGGCCCCCATTCCGGCGGGCGCGAAGGAGGCTGCTGGAGCAGGGGCTTCCGTCGTAGTGCTTTTTGGAAGCTTTTCGCAGACGACGGACTGCGGGGAATGCCAGCCCTATCCCATGTGCTTTTTTCGCCCATATCAACGTGGGGGTTCGCCCTTGTGGCAGGTTCATTTCAGAGTAATGAAATTAGAATCCTAGCCGCGGCTGGGGAGCGCCCCCGTGCATATACCCGCCCAATACCCGAGCACGCAGTGCTTGACGCCCACCGAAAATAGGTCCTCCCATCCCAAGGCACAGGCCCTGCCAGCCCTAGAACGGCTTCGGCTTCTTGCCGGGGACACGTAATGGCGCCCTGGCTGCCCTTTTCTTCGCTGGATCCTGGCCGGGAATCGACAGTTGAAAGTTGAGTAAGCACGCCGGTGTGGAACTACCGACGGCAAGTCCGCCATGCAAGCGCCGTTGTACGGCTGAAGCCCGCGCCCCGGCTTCAATGCCGGCATTGATGGGTCATTTTGCGCACCACGCGAGCCCCATGGAGTGCCACGCCCAACGGCGGACAGACGCTGTGGCAGGCCCCGTGGCGGGAGGGCTCTCTTCCAGCCGACGAGTTGAAGACTCGGAGCGGGCAAGGGGTCGGCAAAGTCAGGCGGAGGGGGCCGCCCTTTGATCCTCAAACCCATGGTATCCGTTGCCCTGAACGCTGCTGTGGGCATGTGGATGAGGAACCCTAGAGCTCGCACCGCCGAAAGCTCGTTGTGGAAGGCATTCTGCTGCACGGCGCCCAAGGCATGCGGGGAGGGGCCGGGGGAGAGCGCACCCCTGCGCTTTACGAGTCCCATCAACTCTCTTCGATGAGTGCAACCTTCGAAATGCCACGTGCGATCGGAAAGGGGCACGAATATATTTGCCTGCGAGCCTCAGCTCCGCTCTTGGAGACCCTTTTTGCAGCTGCGTCCTGGTAACCGCAAAACACGCAAACACGTCCAAGACGCGGAAGCTCACGCCCCCCCTGCTATCATTGCCCTCACGCCTTGCCACATGCTGGGCCGTGTCCCACTCGGGAGGCAGCTCGCTCCATTCGCTTCGGGCGTTGCCGATGCATTGACAACAGCCCACGTCGCAGTTGCGGTCGCCTATAGAATCACATCAGTGCCCACGTCTGGGGCGGTCTGGCACCCCTGCCTCCGAGATCCAGCTCCATGACGGAACAATGCCGCCAACGTCGCCGTCAGGCCACGCGAGGCTATTGGTATGGATTCATGATCAGAACGGCTCTGCCTGCGGCGCTCGCCGTGCGGTCCAGCGCTGACGGCGATCTGAGGAAGGGTTGGATTGGACGGATCCACTCCCAGTCGGTCAGGTGACAACACAACGTGTTGGGCCGCCCCTCAACAGGAGTCCGACATAATTACTCTCCTGCGCTGAAGGGGCATCCGGGGCGAAACGCAACTGGCAACCACGGCACGCCGGGGATTGTTTCCCTCCGTAGCCACAACGCCAATGAATTGCGTGACAGAAGTCGGTGCCTTGGGTCCGTACTGGCCCCACTGTACGCCCACAGCTGCAAGCAGCGAATCTGCTGGCTACCAAGAAGCGTGCATAGGGTGCCACCAACTCCGGGCCGACAGCTTCGGTGAACCGAAGCCCGACGAGAATGTGCGTGCCGAAATGACCAGATGGCGCCCTGCCGTGTGGATAGGAGCGGCGCAGCTGCGGTCACTCGCCTTGACGCAGATCGCCCGCCGCCACACGCCATGGCCGCTTCCGACATTTGCAAGCTTGGCAACTCAGCCGCGAAGTCGGTGCCAGAGGTCACTTCAACCGTCTGCAGCGAAAGGAGCACTCCGTCGAAAGCCCAAAGCACCCAGGTTTCGGATTGCGCGGGGCCGTGCTGTTCTCAGCGCTCTGTTCGGGGCTGGTTCTGCGACAATTTCATGGGTGATTGGGTCCCAACAGCCGCTCAAATGAGGGCGGCCGGGCCCCTTGCTGCCGAAGCGGCGCGTCTGTCCGCCACTGGAGTTTAGGTTGTTCGCTGGCACCCGGACATGACCTTCCTCAAACCACTTCCGCCGGTCCTGCCTGTGGTGAGGTTCGTACGGGAGATCTTTTGGGATCGCTCTAGATCAAGAAGGGGGCGTTGGTGAAGTGCCCGTGGCAATATGGGCGGTGGGGTTTCAACGCTGGGCAGAGAATGGGCCGATGTTGAGGGTGACAGTGCAGCCAAATCGCACGCGTGCCCGGTACAGGCCGGCGTGGGATGGTCGGGGTGCCAGCGCTCGCGGCCCGATGATCCGCTGATCCTTGCCAAGGGTCGCGCGGGCCTGCGACTTGAGCAGAGCTCCGGCTCTTTGGAAGTACAAAATGAAGTCGATTTGCAAGAAGACATCTGTCCCTGACTGCGTGCACCTTCCGTGATTCAAAGGTGCATACGTGGGGGTGTATTCGCACAAAGGCACATCGCATCAGGAACTTACACTAGGGAAAAAAGGGCAAAATAACACGTGTTCAAACGTGTACAAAGTTTACGGGTTTGTGTTATTTTTGTGTTCTTAGCGTGCAGAACTTTGATGAAATGTGTTTTATGTGTGTTCGAAAAGTGTTATTTGGCCCTTTTTTTCCTAGTGTTATAGAAGGCCCTGATGGGGAAAACTCGGAAGACGCACCCGCCTTTCATCCGAGCAGTGCATATGTTCAGAAATACTTCATGTTCAGAAGTGTGTGTGTCAACACGCATATCTGCATAAATGCACACCACACACCAACTGCCAACGCCTTGCTAGCTTTTCCTGCTCACAGTGATGAACAAGTTCCAGCAGACAATACTTGGTGCTACACTGGGCTTGTGATGCCCTTTCACCACATCCCAAAAAGCAATGTCTTGTCAGAACTTCCAGAGCAACATGTATGAGGACTACGCTGACAACACAAACATTGTTTGAATATGGTATGTTGGAGTTCATTATCATAAAGAGCAACCAGCACCACTGCAAAAGGGATATTGAACTGTAACTGGGGGAAGGGATGCGTTCCAAATCAAAAATGTGTTGCCACCCTGCAGCCATCCCCACAGCCATTGCCCACTCTCTGCATGGCAGCAGCAAGAGGAAGGTTCCTTGATCCAGCATCTCGACATTACGATGTTTTTACCATTGATTTGCTGGCAGCTCTGGGGAAATACTCTGATGGTACTTCAGAGCACATTCCCAATCCACTGAACCAGCTAGTCAGTAGACAAGAGCCAGCAAGATGAACAACTTGCATAGCAATACAAGGACGCTGGCACAAGTTTTCCCCTGCACATCGTGCCCAGCAAACTGTGTGGAAACAGCATTGCCAGCTCGAAATGTGCCACTGTCCCACAAACTCATCTTCCACATCTATCTCACATTTCACACGTCCTGTCCCCTTCACCCAACCACCCATCCAGCCCGCGCCCCCCTCCCACCCCACCCAACTCCTACTGTCCAGAACCCACCAACTTGTTATTAACAACAACAGATGATGCACTTGAGATCCTCGTCAGCCACACGGCTCCTGACACATTGTCTTCCTGTGCATGTGCTACGAGGATTGTCCTGTCCACTCCTGGAATGCAAGCAGTTGCAAAATATGGAGGGTGGTAGTGCTTTCCACACGATTGGTCCATGATCACAACAATGCTTGAAGGGCACAACCATATTTAGTATTTGGTATGTTTGGAAAAGGTGTAACTGAATGCAATGTGGATGTCATTGCCAAACATTTGTCAACAGTACACGCTGACATAAGGAATGAACCCGGCAGATGCGTCCATCAAGTCAGGAAAACTAGGGGGGGAAAGGGGGGGGAGCAATTTCAGCTTTCACTGACCGTTATAGCAATCATTGGTGTCAACTGCCCCAGGAACAGGCCACCGTACTCACCGGCAGCAGCACACAGGCCAGCGATGGTGTCCTGTTGGCCGTCCTGCACAGTCCATGATGCAGTGTACGCGCTATCTCTTGCGTCGAGAAAGAGCCTTTGCCCGTCTGCGAGTAGTTGGAGACGCCCAGCAGACTCCCTCTGCCCTGGACTATTCTCTGTAAGGATACACTTGTGCTGGGAAGGTTCTCAGGCACAGCAGTGATGAGTATGGGCTTCGTCCAGCAGGTCGTGTGTTTCTTCTGTTCTGCAATCTTGCGCAGGGCCGCTGATGCGAGCACGACATACACTATCGATGCAAGCCCTGGTGGAACCGTCTTCCGCCTCGACCACGCTGCCCATAGAGCAGGGTGGGCGGGGACTCAGCAGCTGCATTTGCCACGCAGCACCAGCCGAAGGCAACAGCTCTAAAGCGCACGATCGGGCTCAAAGTCCGACTTTTCAACATAAGATACTGAGAGCCCTGGGACCCGCCAGGAACGTGTCGTGATAGTTGGTCCTGGGCAAGATCATGGCAGCCTTGACGGAAACCAGGCGAACCATGCAGGATCGAATCCCCAGCACATTCGAGGACGCTCATCCCCGCCTTCTTCATACGGAGGTGACGGCACCTTCTCTTGCTCCTCTCCCTGGTCGGCACGTTCTTCTGTTCCTAAACAGGCCATCAAGAAACTGCCACTTCCTCCAGGCTGCCTGCATGGAAACTCAACGCTGGACAGCGGGTGGTGCGTCGCAGCCCGCCAACCAGAGACCCACTACCCCTTGCTGCGCGCCCAAACCTCAATTGTCACCTTTTATGACGCTGGAAGCCCCATTTCATTCAAGAAGAATAGACCTCGACACTTTCGTCAATCCAAACGCAGGTCCGGATACCTTCAGCTGCGAAACCGGTAGGAGGAATATGTCTTCCACGGCCATCCCTGCACTTTTCCGCCGGAGAGAACGTCCTTGTCCTTTGGCAGCACCTCCTGCATGCGTCAGTTGTCGCGCGCAGCCAATCCTTTCTGAGAACGGCCAAGAACAGCTTCGGGGTGGGAGCCTTCGCCTTCCACATACTACGAAAGGGGCGGTCAACCCATTTCCAGCTTCGTTCGCAGCATCTGGGCCGGAAGTTGGCCCCTCCTGCACTCGGGGGCCTGGCAGCTACATGGACGAGGAGGGGGAGGGGGGGTCCATTCTAGAACTCTGTCGATTGCCTAAAACGCTGTCCACAATCGAGCCCGGTGTAGCCAGCAGGCTGTAGTTAAGAAGCCTGCGTGCATGTCGTGAAGGACATACAAATTCGAAGAATCTTCGGGTACTCGACCATCTCGGTGGCCCTGCCGTTTCGAGAGCGAACGGGCGGTGGTCATCTCCTCACTGAGACATCAGATGCCTCATTCATCGAAACGGCCATTTCTGGTTCAGCCGACCAACTTCCAACCTGATGAGCTGGTGGCGTGAAGATGACCACCAACATCAGTGTATTTCAAAGCTGACTGCCCCTCCACCTGCCTGCAAAGGCCCACCGGGTCCCATATGGCAACTTCAGGCCCGCTCTGCGACTTCCTGTGGTACCATGTCGTCATTCGCCAATGGTTCACGTATCGTTCCAGGTCCAGATACCTGTTGAATATCTAAAGAATTGTGTAACTCAGCGACGGTCACGTTTGTGCCCTTTTGCGTTTCCGGCTTCCCAGCCTCAAAGGGGAACACTTAAGGAATGAACCGCTCTGCACAAGAGCTGATGCCTATGCTGTGAAGGATCCCAGAACAATCGGGTGAATGATGCATGATGTTATCGTCGGTTGTGCGCAGCATTCTCTTGGTGTGCATCACGTCATCCCACCATGCCATCGTCCTGTATGTACAGCACAGTTGGTAGGCGCGCTGTAACAGTCAGAAGTCCGGTATGGTTGTCAGCCCGTCCCGGGAAATGTAGCCGAGAAGTTCCAGTGTCCCGCTTTGTCATGACGACGACCAGGTATACTGGGCATTCTGAGGACTCATCGCCTTTGCCCCCTTCACAGGCCACGACGGCCCACTAGAAAGTCGATAGAAATGTGCCTTAAATCGTCCTCAGGATCGAGGAGGCCCAGCTTTCCCTTCCTTGAGGGGCGCCTGGATGTGGATAATTCATTATTCGTCACCGCAAGCGGGTGCTGCCTATGACTATGGTGAATTCAGACTGTGCGGTTGCGGGTCATGGACTTGCGGCATACGATGTAGGAATTGAAGAGAATAGAAGGGCTCTTGAGCGCAATGAATACCTCTTGGGTCTTAGATCCCAAAGCCCTGCGCAGTATTACAGATGGGACAAATTTGGCACGGCCATTGTCATACTTCCTCTGTCCCAAGTTAAATGAAACAATCTGTCTGCATGGTCGCATTTTTATCAATCTCTCATCAATTTTGCTTCAGAATTTGAACAGAGCACCAAAACTCACGTTGGTATGCACGGTCAATTTTTTGTGAAGAACGGATAAGTATTGATCAAATGGTTGTACTCTGAACCCACAGGATATTTTCGAAAATCCCAATTTTCTCAGGCTGCCGGCCCCCAAACCTGGCCACTCGCCCAGGTCGCTTTGCGACTGTCGGTGCGCAGCACAGACTGAATATCTTCGGCCGCCGCTGTGGCAGCAGGTCGGAGGCGTTCCTCTCGAAGTACAGAGGGCGCGGAACCAAGTTTCGTACCGCTTGATCGCCGATCGCGACCGTGGATTCGACAACCCATTCAGCTTTTCAGATTTGGATCGGAAAGCCGAGAAATCGCCGAACTTCACAACCACGGCGTTTTTGAAAGGGGCTACCGCCATAGGGGAGGTGGCCACAAGTGTTTAGGCCACCACCAAAGGTTTGGAGAGATGCGATTGTCAATTCGCTGCACAACAGCGAAAAGATCGCCGGAAGCGGCTGTGCCTGGCACAGGCCACAAGGAGCATTTCGAGTGCCGTTCAGGCCGCTTTGAAAGACGCTGCCATTTGTTGGTAGGTGTTCCTTCCGCGAAACACGCCATTGGCTGGATATCGCCAACGAACGGAGAGCGCTCGGTGCACGCAGCGGTTCTTCGGCTGGTCTTTAGACACCAGAAGACCTGTTGGCAACGGTAGATCCCAGATATGTCCTTGCGAAGCCGTGGACGGTGGCGGGGATTTCCGCAAATCCGTGATGGCGAGACGGGCAGCCAGGCGCCTTCTCTGCCGGTTGTCCATCGCGATGGGTGCCGAACGTTGCGATAGATACTGAGCGAGGTTGGCCGCTCTACCCTTCCAGTGCCCTGAAGTCCAGAAAGAGGGCCTGCACTCGTGTGTTGGGTCATCTCGGACCCGGGAACCTACTTTTTGGCGGGCGGGGGGTGCCCTGGGAGCGACCAAATTCTGAGTTGGAGTATTGCATATTCAATGCATTGCCGAATGCAGTGCACTCAATCGTTCCCTTTAATTTTTGGGTAGCAACCACGACATGTACAGTAGTTGCTGCAGTTGCGTTTTCAAGAAAAACAAACGAGCACTCGATACAAATTCAGCCTCACAGCAAATTGTTTCATTTAATTTGGGACAGAGGAAGTAGTTGACCAATATAATCATTGCATTTCTCACAATGAATGGCGCAGCAAAGACATTGTGGCTCAACTTCCATCGTCTTTTGTGTTGCCATCAACATATGAAGACTCCCAGACATTGCTGGTCGGCCGAGTCGGTGCTCCTGCACTGATCGATTTGCATCTTGGCTTTCAACCACATCTTCACGAGGTTCTGGTCGACAACACAAATTCCGCTGCGATCTCCGACCCACTTTCCCGAGGAATCTGTTTGGAATCGGGTGGCACATCTAAGCATACCGAACAACCGAGCCACATCACTGCCTCAGTGACAGCTCAGCTTGATTCGTCTCAATTGGAGGGCAAGACGGCCGTGCCATTCCTCGCTCTGGTTCGCCGCAAATTGGAAATTTTCTTTCACATTCTCCTGAGGTTTCGTAGCCAATTGAATGACTGCAGCGTTTGCTACGTCTGAGAGCCCTACGAATAGTACTTGCTACGGTGCGTCAAGCTTGCTTTGGTAATTTTTCCTATTCGAAACTTTTTCCCTTCGTTTGCGTGAGCTGGGTATCGGATAGATTTTTTGGAACAGAATTAGTACGTTAAGTGCATTGTTGGTTTCGTCATGGCCAAAAGTTTTGGCCTCAAACGATTGTCGCTTAGTTACCACAACACATTGCTGATGTTCTTTTCTTTGTTAGCGCACTGATCTAAAGATTCATTCCCGGGCGAATGTCAGGATAGAATGTCTGTTGGATAAGAGAATGAGTGGAAAGGTGTCGATGGCGGCTGGAAATTGTAATGATAGCAAACTGCCTGCAAAGCCCACAATGGTTAGCAGCGCAATGACCAAGGGTCGCCTATGGGGGCCGAATCTTGAAGTGCACGTGAATCGTGTGCCGCTCTTCTCATTATTTGAAGACATTGGCTTTTGGAAAGCACTATGATTTTCAGAAAAATTTTCAGAAAACTAAGACGTACTCATAGAATCAGCAAATTCATGTCATAAATGTGCACAGTAGGGCACTGGTTCTTCTTTCAGCCGCAGATACTGCATCCTTCTAAAACGGGTTGGGAGTGACTGCGGCTTTTCCCCAGCATTCATGAATGCCAGGTCTTATTGCGTCTTGCTTACGCTGCATCAATCATTCAACAGATTATGTTTTCCACTGCAAAGATGTGACCTGGAAATGATGTAGACGTGAACAGTCAACTTTCAAATTAATTCTGTGTCGAATGCAGCAGGGTTCGTATTGCTATTAACACAGGTAGCAAATGTTTTGCCAACCGAATTGCCAAGTCGTGGGGCGGAAAATCTTCGACATTCCAACAACACCCTAGAGACCGCAATTCCTGGGGTTTAAACCTTCTTCATGTAGGTCTTCTGTCAACAAGCCATACTTGTAAAGCTAATGTCCTTCAACTATTTCGATACACTGAACAATAAGCGAGGGTAACCAATAATCAAGGGTATATTGTATAATATACGGCTAGAGCGACTGTTATTCGCTTTTTGTTCAACAGTTTCCGCAGGCAGACAATGCCCCGGATGGCGCTATTGTCCAGCAAGTTTTTCCACAACAGCAATAAGCAATGATTAAAAATATTGTCGCTGTGGCATAACTAGTTCAGCACCTGCGCCTTCCGTCGCCCCGACTAATTGCAGAACTTCTCTCTGCCGGCGAGAGTCAGTTTAATTCCTTCCACCTCAACATTCTTTCGTCGTCAGTGCTGGTTTGCTGCAATTGCTGCTCTGAGGCAATGTAGATCAGAAACCTGCAACTCTCGATGCAATTCGCAGCGGGTCCCTGCGCACTTTTTGAAGACAGCCGGTTCTGCACACCGGCTCTGAACTGGCGCTGTTCTTGTACTCATAAGCAGTGCATTTGATTACCACTAGCAGAAAAAGGACCAACTAGCACTTTTAGCGAACACATACATATGCATCAGTGTTCTGCATGCCAAGAGCACGAAAATAACTCATACCCGCAAACTTCTTGCATGTTTGAACACGTGCTACTTGGCCCTTTTCCTTCGTGCACATTCAAATGTGTAAATGCAGCCAAATGTAGACGTCCTGCATTGCCTAGAGATGGAAATCGATGCAATTGACCTCAGTGGAAGAGTTGCACAGTTGTGACTGACGGACCACAGGGACATTGGGGTGTGACTGCGAGACTGCAGAACCTGCCAGTTGCCCCATGTCGCATAATGACGTAACGTAAATCCCCAAGATGCGGAGAAAAGTCCCGGTCCAATGATTATTACAACACTGGGGACCTACCCATGCGGTAACTCTCCGATAGCTCCGGTACTTGCACGCGGCATTCCATCGATACAAAATCCTTCTTGCTGTGTCCGACACCAAAGCCTCTTCGTACCCGACAGCACATGTCACGAAAGAAGTAGCGTCGAGAACGTCGAAGAAGCTGGGAGAGGCCGTCCCCTGTCCCTGCATAAAGCTACGGGACTATGCTATTCAGGGGGCTACGCGCCGTTGTCGGAGGATCGGTCGTTCCGTCAAAACGCGAACAGCAACGATCCAAAAGGGGACGCCATCACAGCGACGGGCTACGATGATCAATAGTGTCGTCCTATTGTGTCTAGTGCTGCTGGTACTAGCAGATGTTGGGCTGGGAGGGGACCAGGAGCGAGCAGGTAGGTGGCACCAACACTGGCTTGAAGCCAGGGCATCATTCCAGACTGGTTGCAACTTGTGGATTCGACTATACAGGCCGGCTAGCATGCGCGGAGGCTCAACCAGTCCGCACACCAATAGAAAGGTCGCTATTTGTGTCGCAAGGCGGCTTCTGTCGACAGCTTATGGCCCTCTGCGATTGACTGGTGAGCAACACACTGGAGGGGAAGGAACGGAACGACCAGCGAGCAAGCTGACTGTTAGAAACAGCCATTCTTTGCCTCCCCACGTGTACGAATCTTCTCTCGTCAGTTTGGCAAACGTGAACTTGTCATGGGCACACGTCTTCCCAACAAGGAAAGCTAGAACCAGCCCCATGCGCGCTGCCAAACGTGGTGCTGCAGCGCCCAGTTGCTACCACCAACTCAGCAGCTGATGCTTGTTGTGCAATTGGCAGCCCGCTCGCATCCGGGGTTAGCAGAGACAGAAGAGAGCTGCCGATATCAGGTCAGTGAGCTCGAGTGGCGGCACTATTCTGAGTCGTTGCTGGCCGTCTGGGGCCGTCGCGAACTGCGTCTCAGGGCTCGAACCACTGGTGTGCCGAATCTGCCAGATGCTTCCAATCTTTCATCTGGGCACGCTTTGTCTCCAGGCTGTCACACCTGTGATGATTAATTAGAAAGCGGGGTGCCCGATTCCGGAGTGGGGACCGAATTAAGTCGGCTTGACTCGCCGGCCCTCCGGCCCTCGTTAGAAAACCGCCGTCCACCCTTCCTTCGTGGCCCCCAAGGTGTCACGCCGAAACAGCCGCTAAACAGCTCCCGTCCGCTCTGGCGGGCAAAAGCCGAGGCCAGCAGTCTGAGAAACCAATTCCGCAACACCACCTTCCCGCCTCCCACAACAATCTGGTCGCCGTTCAGGCATTCTCTCGCGGCGGTCTCCGCCTCCTGCCCTCCTGACTGTGCCATTCAGCGCCGCTACGCCGGAAAACGGCATTCCAAGGAAGGCACTTGCAGCATTCAACTCTCCCCTAGTCGTGCCGCCAAGAAAGGTCTTGGAGTTTTGCCGCAAGGTTCACTGGGGCTCCGTCGTCCACACGAGCTCCGGTGCCCACCTGGTTACGACGCTGCACTGGCTCCCATGAACTCCCCTTACAATTCTGAAGTTCGCGGAACAGACTTTCAGCGCTCCATTTCTCTAGTCTTTGCCCAGGTGGTGTTCTATCAGAGCGACAGAGCCGGCGCGACAGCGATCCAGACCAACGCGCAGTTGCCACAGCGCGCACGCAAAAGCAGCGTTGGCTTTTCTCTTTGTGCGCCGTGCGCTGGCCGTGAGGTGCGCACACTCGCGCACCGCCCAAATACCCTCGGCCCGCCTTTTTGATCCCGATAGCCGGTGCAGGAGCCTGGCAGCCGCACTGACTTCGGAATAGACCATGGGACCCTGCAAGTTTCAGACTGCAACTGTAGACTGCCAGACGTTCCCTCGCGAGTGTACCGAAACGGGGTCGAGCGGCGAGTGGATGGCGCCGACGGGTTGCCGCCTCCCCGTGGGGGCACCGCACCTCGCTCGCAGGCTCTTTGTGGTCCAACCGTCATCCACCTTTGGAGTCGGTTCCTGGGCGTCTGCCATCCAGACATCCCTTCGCAGCGAAACAGAAGCGTGAGCCCAGGCTAAGAGCGAGTGGCAGATTCCCGGTCGTGCGCATTGAAGTGATTACGCGACGGGCTGGTCAGCGCGATCAAAGTACTTGGACTGTGAAGTTCCATGTGCCCTGGACTGATACACGTGGATCGCACGTGGATCCGACTTGCCCCCCTCCCCCCCTCCACGCCTTGCTCAAATCCTGTTTTGGCTGGGGAAGATACAGGAAATTGTGCCTTCGGGAGCAGCCTCCCGACGGCCCTTGGAGTGGGATGAACTGCCTAGTGCTGGCTTTTTTGGAATGGGTACCTGTTTGTGGCCCCGACCTGAACTTCAACCTCAACGTGGCATCAGTGTAACGGTATGCGAGCTTTAAACGGCGCTTTCATAATGTAGTGACTGGAAGCCACAGCATCAGATTTAGGCGCCGAGGGCTAATGAACCAACGCTGATGATCCATCTGTGGTGCCGTGCACACACCCGTGCAAGTACACTTGCAGGAATTTAACGTGAGAAAGGTGTTTCTGATGCACATCTGGTCGGAATCGCAGGTATCAAGCACTGCCGGGCGGTACCCATACATGGTGTCCATACGGCGTGCAGGAAGTCACGAGCACGTCTGCACTGGCATCCTCGTGCATCCAAAATACGTCGTGACGGCAGCCCATTGTGTCGACTTCGAATCTGTTTACAGTGCGGGGCGCAGACCCCTCGTGCATATTGGACCAACGTCAGTACATTACACGGATGAACGAGTGGAGGTAAATTCAGCGGCGGTTGGGATGAGCACCGAATCACGCATATCAGAATTGTAGAATCTATAATGTTGAAATGGTATGCAAGCATGAGCCTTGTACTCCTGCTTTCGATGAGCATTATTCATGTACATGTCTGCTGCGCTCATGCTTGATTATTCTGGGGGAATCGCGTACTGCATACTTCTGTACCTCTGAACTACATATTTTTGCGCCTGTGGTACATCAACTACACGCTAGAGTCTGAATGCCAGACTAGAACATGGCAAACAGCGGAGTAATTTGCTCAGGATAGCGGGCAACATTCAGATTTGTATCTAACTCTGTAGCATTGCTGCATTGCACAGATGATGGTGGTCGAAAGGACAGTCATTCACCCCAGATGGCAAGTTCAAAAACAGCAAAATTCAGCCTTCAATTTAGCTCTTATGGAGCTTCCAAAACCATCACAGCACCAGGTCCCTCACGTGCTTTCAGACCATGTCCATTTGCGGACCGGTCAGCAACTGAGTGCACTGGGATGGGGATCATATGATTCCGGTCCCTCTCTCGGAGGAGACATATTTGGGGGACTCAAAATTGAGAGCCAGACGTTTATTGATGGAAATGGCTGCAATCGAGCGAACTTGTGGAATGGAAGCATTCCAAGTGGATTGGTCTGCGGGCTGAACGAAATACAAAAAGCTTCATGTCTGGGTGAGTGTTGGGGGCATTTCAAATAATCATTCACCTGGACGATTCTTTCAATGAACGAATTAAGGGAGAGTTTTGCAGTAATTGTTATTCCCTTTGGCTTCTCTACAAGTGATCTGGTTTATGAATCAACGAATACGCTTATTTCGTAGATTTTAGTTTTTGCGTTCCGTTCAGATGTAGATTAGAAACTGAGCTATTGTAACTTCAATCTGGACATGGAGAAATCTTTCAATGAAGTTTGCTTTTACAATATCAGTGAATTTCGCTTTTCAATGCATGCAAAGTTTCAGGAGTCATTTTAATATGCTGATGCTATTAATCTATGTTCATGCTCGAAATTAAAGTGAAGAATTTACTGATCTTTCAGACATTCAACGGGTTCAATCAATAAATTGCAGTGTAAATGGATCGAATGATATAAATTAATATCTGTTTGAATTAGCAAGCACACACTAGTCATTTCAGAGGTAGGCTACAACATCATTTGCGTTACACTTTCAATGCACCGTTCAGGCTCTTCACGATATGCTCCAAGAAAAATGCCATATGCATGATTGATGCAAAGTGTCCCTGCGTGGCCAGAAAAGATGCTGCTTTCTTCAATAACGAGCTTCCCAGCGACGTGCCACATATTGGCTGATGGGTTTTATTTGTACTATGAATGATTTTGCTGCACAGTAGATATGCCCAGTGACAATTTGTTGGCACCGATTGGGATTCGTCTATCATTAACTAAATGTGCGATGCATCGGCATCACCATATTCCGCATTACATTGCGACACCACTAGTGACTTGTGTTGGACGATTTGTGTTAAGCGCGTGCGTCAAAATATCCGACAAGAAGTCAAGTGAGGCTAAATATCTTTTCACTGCGTTGCCTGGTTCCAGTGGACAGCGGAGGTCCCCTGATGCTTCTCGACATGCCCAATTACGACGTTCGACGAGGAGATCCAAAATTCGATTTTCTCGCAGGCATTAATATCGACGGTGAACCTTGTGGATCTCCGGGAAAGCCAGATGTGTATCTGGATATCAGGGAACACTTGAAATGGATAGAACTGAGTATTGGTGCTGACGGAGTAGATAAATAGGGTGGCTCACGATATATTTTTAGTATTCTAGGAATTTTATGTGAGCCATTGACCATTTAACTGTCATTTGCTTGCGAATACCCCTGCTCGTGTTTGGGTGCATGTATTTATGTAGTAACACACATCGCTCTCATGCAAGCATGCATGCGCTCTTCCGCAACAGCGCATGCATCCAGGATCCCGGAACAGCCGTCGGGATCTGGCAGCTTGATCACACTGCCAGGCGCTCGTGGTTTTACTGTGGCGGAGCGTCAATGTACAGGACCATGCATGCTCGCGTTATGCGGGTGGCCTTGACTGAGAGAACCCGCAGTCAGCCCACCCTGGTGCTCTGCAGCGCTCTAAACCGCTGAATTTGGGGTCAGCACTACCTTAGTGCGCACGCGCTTCTGTTGGGACTTTATTGCTTATGTGTGAACGTGGGCTGGGGGCCACCTTTGACCCGGTGCACGTGCCTGGCATGGGGGCGACCATAGCACCGGCAGCCAGCCCGGCTGCGTTAACGCTGCCCCATACCTCCCCCCCTTTCCTAGTGTTCACTGACCATCATTGTGGCTGCCCAATGAGGCGCATGAGCCACGGTAAGAACTAGGGAGCTCCCTCACAGGATGTGCCCAATCCAAATCCCAAGGCACAAACAATTAAGGCACACAATGCATCCTATGAATAGGCCTTCAAAAAGAGCGCAAAACAACCGGAAATGGCCAGAAGAAAGAAAGAAAGGCCCTGCAGTCATCCTTGAAACGGAGAGAGTTTGAACAGCGGACTGGCAGTGATATCTGAGCACGACGATTTCCCTCTGAATTCCAAAACAAACTCAGTTGACCCTTCACCCGCGCGAGTTCCCTAGCCAGATTGGCCAGTTGCAAAGATTCACCGCGCAGCAACGAGCACAACGCGCACCAGCACGACCTACGCATTCCACTAGCAAAAACAGGACCAAATAGCACTTTTTCAAACACGCATAAGACACATTTCATCAAAGTTCTGCAAGTTAAGAACAAAAAATTAACACAAAACCGTAAGCTCTGTACACGTTTGAACACGTGTTATTTGGTCCTTTTTTCCCTAGCGCTCTCAGGGTAAGTATTGCAACTCTCACAGTAAGTATTGTACCATGCGCACACAGGTTGAAACAGATCAGTGTCAACAATGCAACACCAACTGCTTTCCGAATTTTGAACAGCTGTCTGGTATTTTCGTATACGCCCAGCCAGTCCTTAATGCTATTATCAGGGATTCCTACCCTGCCAAACGACACCAATACATTGTATTCATGTACTTTGACGTCCAGATTTCACTGGCTCTGTGCACACCCAGTACAGCTCAGTCCATGGCAGCCGTCTTAAACAGCTCTTTGTAGAGCTTTCTTAGGTGGAGTGCCTGATTTTGGGCGAATGCATGTCCCTGAGTTATTTGTGTGTCCTTTGACAGGTTGCTCTTCGCAGGACCGGGTGGACAATTCAATTTACTATGCTTGATAGGAGGTTGTTAGTTTCGCAGGACCTAGTGTAGTTTCAGAGATTTTCCTTGGGCTGGCTCATGCCTTAACCATCAATGTTGCATTAGACATGGGACGATCATGTAACGAAATTTAATTATATTTTGATTATCCTATGATGACTTCCCAATGTTCACTGAAGCCCTTCATCTTCTATGGATCCCAACAAGGCAGTGGTTCAATAGGTTCATGATGGAACCTGAAATGAACTGGCTTGAAACTTACCTATATTACTAATGCCACTTACCTTTAGGTCCTATTGGACCTTGATATACGTCCCTCTCTGGCACGCGGTAGCCAAATGCTCCTTAGTCCTTAGTTCTTTACTTGTTCTCAAACTTGTAATTGCTAATTTGAGGCCCCGTAGGCTTCCCAAAAAGTCAGCGGTAATTTGCCCTCAGTCGTAGGCGAGATGCAAGGGGATTGCATCAAATAATTTTTTGCTTTAACGAACTTGGCAACTGATGCTTGTTGTGCAAATGGCAGCCCGCTCATGCCCGCGGGTGGCAGAGACAGAGGAGAGCTACCGACATCATGTCAGTGAGATCGAGCTAAGGCACTCGTCTCAGTCCTTACTGCCTTCTGGGGGCTGTTGCGAACAGCGCATCGGTGTCGGGACCACTGCCGAATCTGCCAGACGCTTCCAATCTTCATCCGCGGGCTGTAGGAATGCTTTGTCGCCAGGCTGTCACACCTTCATATGATGAGTAATTAGAAAGCGAGGTGCCTGATTCCAAAACGAGCACGGAATGAAGTCGACTTGTCGGCACTCCGGCTCTCGTGAGAAAACAGCCGTCCGCCCTTCGTGGGTCCCAGGGGGTCACGCCGAAACAGCGGCCAACAGCTCCTGTCCGCTCTGGCGGGCAAAAGCCGAGGCCAGCAGTCTGAGGAACCAATTCCGCAACACCACTTTCCCGCCTCTCACAACCATCTCGTCGCCGTTCAGCCAGGCTCCCGTGACGGCCCCCGTCCCTGTCCTCCTGACTGTGCGATTCAGCGCCACTGCCCGCCAACGGCATTCCAAGGCAGGTATTTGCAGCATTCAACTCTCCCTGAGTTGTGCCTCCAAGAAAGGTCTTGGAGATGTGGCCGCAAAGAGCACTGGGGGTCCTTCGTCCACACGACGCTCCTGTGCTGGATAGGACGCTGCACTACTTCCCATGAGCTTCCCTTACAGTACTGAAGTCCGCGGAACAGTCTTTCAGCAGTCCATTTCTCCGGTCCTTCCCCAGGTGATGTTCTATGAGAGCGACAGAGCCGGCGCGACAGCGATCCAGCCGACGCGCACTTGCCACAGTACGCACGCGAAAGCAGCGTTGGCTTTTCTCTTTCTGCGCCGTGCGCTGGCCGGGGGGACGTGCGCACGCTGGCGCACCGCCCAAACGCCGTCGATCCACTCTGGACGATCCCGATAGCCGGTGCAGGAGAGCCGCACTGAGTTCGGAGTAGACCATGGGATCCTGCAAGTTGCAGGCTGCAACTGTAGACCGCCAGACGTTCCCTCGCGAGTGTACCGAAACTGGGTCGAGCGGCTAGTGGATGGCGCCGACTGGCTGCCGCCTCCCCATGGGGGCACCTTGCTCGCAGGCTCTTTGTGGTCCAGCCACCAACCGCCATCCACCTTTGCAGTCGGTTCCTTGACGTCGGCCACCCAACCATCCCATGGGCGAGAGCAGCGCAACGAAACAGAAGCGGAAAGCGAGGCTGACAGGGAGTGGTCAGGTTCTTGGTCGCGCATTTGAGTGATTACGTGATAGGCTGGTCAGGGTGATGAGAGTACTTGCACTTTGAAGTTCCATGTGGCGTGGATCGTACGTGGATCCGACTTTGTCCCCCCCCGGGCCTTGCTCTTGTGGCATAAAATTACTCCGTTCTTGTTTGCTGAATTTCGGTTCTTGTTTGCTGAATTTCGGTTCTTGTTTTCGGACACCCTAAACCCAAACTACTGATCCACGCACCAGGACTGGCCTTCTCAGCGGAACAAGAACCGAAATTTGGCAAACAAGAACAGGAAGTAATATATTCTCTGCTCATGCGCGGCCAGGTCAAACCCTGAATAGATGGGGAAGATACAGCAAATGTGTCGTTTGGAGCAGCCTCGCGACGGCCCCTCGAGCGGGATGAACTGCCCGGCGCTGGCCTTTTGGGGATGGGGACCAGTTTGTGGCGCAACTCGAAGGCGGCATCAGTGTGACGTTATGCCAGCATTGAGCGGCGTTTTCACAATGTAGCGACTGAAAGCCACAGCATCAAACCATAGGCGCCGAGGGCCGATGAGCCAACGCTGATGATCCATCTGTGTTGCCGTGCGCACATGTGTGCATTTACATTTGCATGAACTTAACACGGCAAAGGTTTCTCTGATGCACATCTGATCGGAAACTGCAGGAATCAAGCAGTGCCGGGCGGTACCCGTACATGGTGTCCATACGGCGTGCAGGAACACATGAACACGTCTGTGCTGGTATCCTCGTGCATCCAAAATACGTCGCGACGGCTGCCCATTGTGTCGACTTCGAATCTGCTTACAGTGCGGGGCGCAGGCCTCTCGTGCACATTGGGCCAATGTCAGTCCATGACATGGACGCACGAGTAGGGATGAATTGAGCGACGGTTGAAATGAGCACAGAATCATACAAATCAAAAGTGGAATACTGGAATCTATATCACTGAAATGGTATGGAAGCATGAGTCTTTTACTCATGCGCTCAGTGAATATTGTTCATTTACATGGCTGCTGTGCTCATGCTTGACTACTCTGGACGCATCATGTTGTACATGCCTATTTCTATGTCTTGGTGGATTCGCTACATGTTAGAGTCTGATTGTTCAGATTGCCGGTTTGAGAGATGGCAATACGGAGTAATTTTGCTCACAATAACGAGTAACGTTCATATTTGCATCTAAATCTGCTGCACTACTGCGTTACACAGATGATGGTTGTGGAAAGAACAGTCATTCACCCCAGGTGGCAACCATAGGGAAATACTGGCGGAAGAGGGCCCCCGTCGTGTACAATATAACAGTGTATAACACGGCTGACAATCTGGGGAGCAGAGAGTTCGGGAGCCACCGTGTTGTTGAACACGGAGGCATGGGTGAGCTTGACCGAAGGTGGACACGGGTCAGGGTGGAGTGTTGGGTGAAAAGGGGTGAGCCACCATGGAACGGGAACTGAATGGGTGCGCGGGACACGAACAAACATTCGAATTCGAACATATATAGCTGGAGGTGCCTGTTGGGCTACCCCGTTGCCGCCAACGGGCATCTATAAATATAGCTGCCCGTTCCCCAACATTTGAATACGAAGTTATCACTAGTTCCTTGGCCTGCCTCCGCCTCCCAGCCTCACGCACACGCACGACCGACTCCCGAATTGAACGGGACGCCGCGGGCCGAGCCCCAGTCGGTCACAAAGGAACCCGAAGCCCCTTACAGCCACCTTCAGCCTAGATTTCATTCAAATCGTTCAATTGTCACATTCCTAACCCAGGTACCGTCTATTCCACCTCCTCCACCATCACATGCCTTGCTCTTCAAATTTGCTGACGACACCTGCCAACCAGCCTGATCAGATTCGAGCTCCATGAAGACCCTTTCGTTGCATGACAACCTTCCCCTGCTCTCAATTTGATGGGTCGCTCAAAAATCAATGAGCGCTTACAACCACTATTTGGTCCTGCGCAGTCATGCACAATTCTCCCCAAATCTTGGAATCCCCCTGTCTAGGTAATTTATAAATTCCTCGTGCCCATCTTCGAAAGTTCACAGAAGTCTCACACCCTCGCCCCTTAGACCGCCGCCCTACAGTTCGTCATGTGCCCCTCTGCGGATTTGACGGAGCCACTCTCCGTGCTGCCTCATGTCCAGGTACACGTCCGGCTTGCCCGACACACCGCAGGGCGCTCCATCGATGTTCAGGCCGATGAGGAAGTCGAAGGCTGGTGACCCCGACTCAATGTCGTAGCCAGGGGCGTCCAGCAGAAGCAGCGGGGCTCCTGAATCAACTGCAGTCAGAAGTCCTGGTTGTCAGATGGGACTCAGTTATCCAGACTACCAACCAAGGTACAAGTTTAAGATATATCGATCAAAGTATTAGCCCCCGTAGTTAACGCTTGCATGGGAACAGAACTTTCTTTTATTGGTGAAGAACGCACTTCAAATATCACTGCAAGTTGCTCTGGAAACTCCATAATCTCTGTCGGTATCAGAAACACTGACAGGTACAAATTCAAGTTCGCTAGGCACAAAGCAGGCAAAACAACTTAGACATCCAACAGCAGCAACAGCTGGTCTCTTTCAAACCACGTATCAATGGCACCGATGACTTGATTCAGATATGGTTCGCTATTCTTCACATGACGTCTTTCATGACCACAGCCCATTTCAGCCCATTTTAGTCTTAGAATTCTAGTGTACATCCAGCCATCAGCATTTCGGAGCAAGGGCAGAGTTCTGTATCTCTGACAAATGTAATCAAGCAAGTCCGAATGCACACTTGCAACAAGTAAAATGACTAGCTATAGGGTGACTGCCTTCAACATCGCAGCTCACATCTGGTCCTCTTCAAGCATATGACTTGGCACTTGGATTTGAAGTGAAACCCAAAAAAGTTTACTGTGCCCAAGGGTGCATTTCAACTCATCGACATGGCTGGACGCCTTTCGGTGTTGTTTTAATTCACTGAGAACATAAATATTGTGCTGCGCTCAAAGATGCGTTTTCGCCAAACACGATCCAACCAGTTGACAGTGCCGACCCCCCCCCCACCCACCCACCCACCCCCCCAGATTGCTGACATACTCACCAACACAGGACGCCTTCCGTTCATTGTTCAGAGCGCAGATCGTGTTCTCCTCGATCGACCCATCCCACAACATCGTCCCATTGCAACGTTCCCCATCGATGAATTCCTGCGGCTCCAATCTCATCTGGCCAAAGATGGAGGCTCCAAGGGCTGGGACATCGCCATTGGGGCCATATCCAGCGGCAATCAATCTTTGTCCTGTGTATAGAAGGAACTCATCGGATAGGATGCGTGGCACAGGCTGTCTGGACTTCTGTGGCAACTTCAGCAGCGCGATGTTGAACTGCGATCGCTGTCCTTTGTGGTGTTTCCAGCAGCTGTGAATTGTGGAGCCCTCGACCATCATGACCTGTGATATCAGTGGGAAAGAGGAAATACCATGAAAATCTGACTAGAGGGCACGAAATGGGAGGCTTCACTCTGTCTTGAAGAGATTGGTGTTGAATGGTCAACGTTGTGCCATGCATCAGATATTGCGCAAAATTTTAACTGATCATATCTTGGTGCAAATACTCCCATGCTCTGCAAAGTATGGCAACACTTGTCAACATTGGTACGGAATCCGCTGTGCTACTGGTCCATGTTCAGCAACAACCAAGAAATGCACACCTCTTTCGCAGTGGCAGAGAGTTGTAGACACATCCAGGGCTCATTGTTGACCACTGGGCGTTGACCCACCCTGTATTATGACTCAGCATTAGCACAATGAGGCGCTCTGAGCACGTTCCATGGGGAGATGATCAGATCCCCACAGGCAGCAATAGGAAACATAAATTTACCTCATGTGCCTCTTCAGAAGGGTTGGCGACATCCATGGCTCCCAGTTTCACCACTGGGCGTTGACCGGCACTGTATTGTGACTCGGGATCAACACAATGTGCCGCTGTGAGCACGTACCATGGGGAGATGAGAATTCCGCAGCACACATGTTCGCGACTTCCTGGCCTTTCTATGGAAGCAACATATGGGAAGCGGCCGTGGATAGCCGGGTATGAACCCTGCAGGACAAGCACATGCTACTTGATTTTTTGCAACTTGAATGAAGAAAAGCACACACGAACTGATGCTGTGCTTGCAGGTGGCATACAACAGTAATACACAGCAGACAGCATGAACCTGCTGTCAAACAACCAAAGCTGGATACAGTTATTACTTGGTGCGGACCATTCATGTTCAGTCTGGAAGCACACAAGTGTCCATGAAACATGTCCTGGTCGGAATTGTGCCAGATATCTAGTATCTGCTGTCCACATACACTCGTAAGTCTCACATTAGACCTCTCCGCACCGCTACACAGGGGACACCACCATGGCCATGACCTCGACAATATCCTGTGCCATTCCGACTGTGGAGTGCGATTTCGTGTGCCAAGGAAAAGCGTTCACTATCGACGTGAGCCGCATCCCAAACCGCTGAATGGAATGGCTGGAGCTGCGTTCCCAGTTGTTGGCACCAAACGCAGATCAGGAAATTAAAGCTGATAGGTGGGCCACTGCTGACAAGCGACAAATCCTATGGGACGTATCAACGGGTGGCGCAGGTGCCACCATTCAGCCGCGATTCAGAAACGGCCCGGAGGCCAGACATCCCGACTTGTTGCCCCCACAGATCGAGTATCCACACTCTTTACGCATCAGCGCCCCCTGGGATTCCACTCACTGGCTGCACAATGGCCTTTGGGTGCAGCCAGTGATGGATGGGCACACGTTCCCGACAGACAGAAACGCGTGGAGGCGCAAGTTGGCCCAACGGCAGACACGTGGGACAAGGGGGGAGGGGGGGGGTACCTGTATGTCAAACGAGAGGGTCTCCGCCGTGTTGAAACCCAGGCAGACGACAAGGCTAGCCAAGACTGCTCCTAGACAAACGCGCATAGAAGTGTTTTTGACGCTCGGGGTTGTCCTTCGCCTGCCAGCCGACATCAATGTCGTTCGGAGGCCAAGTAGGGTCTGGGAAGTGGCCTTAGTCTCACCGATCTTCTCTTCTTCTTCGTCTCTGCCTGAGGCGCCAAGCCAAGGACTAATCGAAACAGAAGAAAGCTCCTGTGCTTGCCACGAAGCCTAAGCAAGCTCCCGCTTCCGTGCTCGGAGGCCCTGGCTTTATAGGTCAGGACAAGACTTTTGAGAAGGTACTGGAAAGTACTGGCGGATTCTCGATGACGGGGTCCAGAGCACTTTTTTGAACGCACGCCGGGGCAAAAAAACAGAGAACCAGCGATGCCGTGTGGGGCGGGAGCGCGCCCTTCCGGTCCAGGAAGAGCATCGTCGAGTCTGCTTGGGCTCCCACATGGACGCAGTCATCCCTGACAACTGGTCATTGCCGACAGCTAAGGCCCAACCAACTGCCACTGCACAGCACCGTCCAACTGTCCCAGTAGGCGGAGTTGTCGAGAATCGGCGAGTGCCTAGATAGAGCGGGGGCCCAGACAGCTGCTGGTGCCCTGTGCCGTAGGGCCCGCGACCATGTCGAAAACCGCCAAGCCCTTTGCGCCGGCGAAGCCCCTCCACCATGGTCCTCTGGCCAGAGGCGGTCGTCCAGATCTTGACGATCGCCCTTCACCATCATCGTCGGGACAAAGCTGTTTGAGCCTCCAGGAGCCAGGTGACGTGAGCCATTGCGTCAGCCAGGGCGGCGAGACAGGGGATCTGATGTCAGGGGTTGTTGGATCCCACCCTGATGCCGCCTTAGTTGCAAGGCCTAGCTCTTTATCGAGATGCCACGTTGATATATACCGTCTCCGCCGGCCTTGAGTCTATCCAGAGGGACTGATCAGGCAGGTGGCAAACCGTTGCAGCAGAGGTGGTAAACGACTGAGGTGAGCCCCTTGTCAACGGGAGAACGTGTCCCTTGATGGGCCTCTGCTCGACATAAATGCACCGCGGCCTTTGGGTCGCATGTGGCTTTTTCTGCCCTTGGATCCGCGGTGGTGTGACAATGCGCTTACCTAAGGGTGTCGCGAGGCCTCCAGCAACGTGAAGGGGCACAAAATTCCACATTTCATACCCGTTGGTACCTATTTTGATACTTGTGTCAGACCCAGTGTAGTCCATGACACCGTTTGTGGAATCTGGCTCGAACCATCTGGAGAGTCACCTTGGTGTGCTTGGCGGCGCTGGGCCTATAAAGGCAGGGCGCCGAGCGCATTGGTACAATCAAAAAGGCAGCCTCGCAATTGCATTGCTCGACTTTAGGTGGGGTGGGGGGATTCATTGTTGTGCTGCTGAACTGCTCCTTAACTTGACGCCTGGGGCAGCTGTAGCTCAAGTCAGGCAACACTAACGCCAGCTTCCTGAACCCTGCTTGACCCTCAACGCGACAGCGGGTTGTATGCATCAGATTCCCCTGAATGCAAGACACACTTCTTGCGCTTGTGGCTGTGAGCGGTGTTGGCGAGCGCTGACTTCTCTTTGGTGGAGACCCAGGCAGTGGCCCATTACGGTATGCAGCATTGCGGCCCATATTCAAGAAAGAGTCCTGCCGCTGCTGCGGCGCCATCTCTTGGCACGAGTGGTCGCTGGGCTTTGCGCACCCCGGTCGCCCGGTGCGCGTGCCGCGCTACCCCTTACTCTGATGCGATCGAGCCACCATGTGACACCGCAATGCAGCGCGGCCACCGGTTGTCCGCCACAAAGGTGCAGCTGACGCGGCAGCGCCAATGTCGCGATTGACGCAGTCTAGGAAAAAGGCAGCAGTGAAGGTGCCATGGGAAGGCCTGGTTTCTCCCTGTGCAAAAGCGGACGCGACTTGCGAGCTCCATCGCGGTCTCCAGCTGATGAGGTCCCAGCGGTGCGTACCTGCAGTGTCAGGGCTCACGCTGCCCTTGCTGCAAAGGACGGGGGGCCACGCCGGCAGAGTTGAGGGTCATTCTCACCATCGCAGCTGCGCTCATGTCTCTGCGGCGAGATTCTACTGCCAAGCAGGTGAGTCGAATATCTGGATCTGCGCACAAGTGCGCACGTGCGTCCGTCTTTCTCGCCGAGGACCACGTTCTGCATGCATTGGGTGTCTTACATCCCCAGATTTAGTCCTTTAAATTGAGGAACATTTCAACCCGCGGCCGACGACCTAGTTTTGCTGGGCATCACCCGCGAATGAGCACTACGGGAAGATTGACTCTATTTCACATGTGAAATATGTGAAAATTCATGTACATGAATGCATCGGGAAAAAGGGCTGTTCTACATCACGAAATATGTGGATGCTTTGAGCACAGCAATCGCATCGTTCCACAGAAGCAATTTGCTGCTTAGCTGAGTGGAACTGTGGGAAATCTTCTCGACGACCATTTTGTAGGCACAATGCACCCGCGAATACTAAGACAAATGTCAACATTGTTGCCAGTAGACGGCAAGAGCTAAGAGAAAGCAAGCCTAAGGTCAAATCTCCGCCAGGGATCACATGGCCAAAATCGCGTGCACGTGTACCCCTGATCTTCCTTTCTCTTGGACGTTCGTGCCGCTTCGGCGATTGCCTTCGCAGTCGTTTCATTGAGCATTTGGGCATTGCGTTGAAAAGGTGCGATTGTACTGAATGTACTTGCATCACCATCTAAATGAAAGAGGTGCTAGCTCAATTGGATGGACGAGGAGCCTTGCAGGCCGAGAAGCTGTTGGCCAAACATGTTGAAAACGCAGAAACTGACTGCAGTACTGATTCAGAGATGAGTATCATGCACCACAGTCTGACATGGAAATGCTTTATTGCCCAATTAAAGTGATTTTCTGGTAGCTCCCATGAAACGCTTAGGGAATTCCGGGAAAGAAGAATGGACAAAGATGAAAGGTTCTATGCGGATGGACTATGCGGATGCGCTGATTTCTATGAGGCACAGCGTGAATCGGTACACCCCCTATCATGTGTGGGCAGTGCTATATACAGTCCAGAGGGAGGAGGGTCGCCCATTAAATTGGCACTGTGACGTGGTACTTCGCCGGGACACCGCCTGTGCGATTGATCCCGGCCAGAGACCCTGCGTTCAAGGCAAGAGTGCTCTGTGCTTGCGCAAAAGTCATGGGGGAAGCTGCCCGGCCTCCGTGCTCGACCAGGCCAAGCGCGACAAGAGTGGTGGTCAACCTGGCGACCAAGAGATCTCAGGCACCGGCACACGGCAAGCATCACCCCTCACCAGCAATGGCTTAGGCAGCGGCATCGCTGCCTAGGGCTGAATGGCGTCGCTACGGGCGACAATGAATTTGCCAAGCACACCATTTTTGACCCCGCATCATGCCCGTGCCGGCCACATTATTGCATGAAACCACGCCCCCAACTACCGCGCTTCACAGGCTCTCTGCCTTCCCAATCTGCGCAACCTGTAAGGAGCCCAACGCCCAACTTGCCCAATCGAACTCGACCACCTGCAGATTGGTCAAGAAAGTCAACGCATAAAAGTGAGTAAAAATGCGCTTGCCTTCCTTGCACGCAGCATTTTGCTCCCAATCATGCAGATCATTTGCAGAGTGCCAATCTTGGAACACATTTGCAATGCGATCGTCCCGGCTGAGCAGGCGGCACGTCGCAACCATCGAACCAAGCTGTATTTCACAGAGCACAACGTCTTGCGTGCTTTAGACGGAGACGGTAACAACATGGAGCTTCAACAAAGTTTTGGGCCAATTCCAGCTCATCTTGGTTTTTGCCATTTCAATTTCGCACCAAGTGTGGCGTGCCTCTTACGGCAGCCCGCCGCCATCGTGACTGTGGCAACTATCTCTTTCTAAGCGTGGTTTGTTTCTAGTTCTCTTGCTTGAATGCCTTGAAGGGGACCGCGTATAGGGGGCCCTATTCCCCATGGGACAGCGCATGCCTTAAGGGTGTGTTGTGGCTACCGATCGCATGGCGTGTGAGGACGGCAATCTCCATAGGCGGCAGATTGTCGTTGTCCATTGGCTGCTCGTTGCGGCCATCACGCTTGGGTTGGTCGAGGGTGGAGACCTGCCGGCTGCCCATAGGTTTGGGCGCAGGCGACGGGCTCTCTTGCTTTCGAACGCAGCGTGTTTATGGCCGGGGGGCGATCAGTGACTGGATCAATCGCATAGGCGGTGTCCCGGCGAAATGCCACGTCACAGTGACAATTTGATGGGCGACCCCTCCACTCCGGACTGTATATAGCACTGCCCATCATGTGTCTGACTAGGAATGTATTGAAGTTTTCCTGGATGGTATGCCACTCCAAATATCAGGTTTTGTGGCATCGTTCGCTGAGGAAGACGCATCGCTCTACGATGTTGCAGAAACATGTGCAGCGAAAGAGAGGTGGCTGCGTCGTGCAAGTAAAAATTGCAGCAACATGGCATTCACTGCCCCGAATAGGAAGATGTGCAGTGATGATGATGGATCAATGGGCCAATGGGCCAATAAAGCGTGTCTTGGACCAAACAAATGAACTTCTGAAAAAGAAGATCCACGACGCTCAGAACCGAGGATATGATGCAAAAACTGGCTGCAAATGCTGGCCATCATCGGCGCAGCAGTTCCTGAACATGAGCAAAGCCGTGACCACGCCGTTTCTATTTGTCTGATTCTGAGTATTCCATTGCCTCAGAACAGAACCACTTGGGGCTGGACACGAACCACCATTTTGGTCGTCTAACTGCTTGCGCGTCTTCTCATGACGATTGTGAAGATTCAGAAAGTGACGATTTGTCAAGTCCGTCGATCTCGCATTGTCAGACTGAAGATCACATGTTCAATGATTCCCATGTTCAGCCAAATGTAAAAGCTGACTGTTGCCCCACAGAGCCAGGCTGTAAACACTGGCAGAAAAAAGGACAAAACGACACTTTTTGAGAACACATGTACATGCATTTCATCAGTGTTTTGCATGGTCAACACACGGAAAAAAACCCAAACCCGTAAACTTTGCACACGTTTGAACACGTGCTATTTGTCCCTTTTTACCTAGTAAAACTGGCTTTAAAAGCAGTGATTTGTGCGGTTTCAGGAATTTCTATAGCTCAATTGAGCTGTTTGCAAACAGTGAGATTGATAGGGCGTGAGTACAAGCCTTCAACCCAGATTCTTGTGGTGAGAATGAGCAGTGCTGCTTTTGGCAGCTCTGCCAAAAGAAGGCGAAAGCTGCTGGAAATTGTGGCTCAAAATTGTATCTTTGGGGAGAGATCGTCCCTCTTATGTTGGGGATCCTTTTCTAGTGCCCAAAGAAAAGCGTGAAACCAGCACTGCTGTGGACGATTTGATGATCGCAGCGTTGCTGACAGCAGGTAGATTATGAGATGCTTTGTGATCTTCTTTGCACACGTTCTGCGGTATTTCTGGGCTGTGGGGCCGATTTATGCAGCGCATTCTGTGTATTTGCCACAGGTGGATGAGGCCCAAGCACGTCCAGAGACCGTGACAATGACCACATCGACTGTCAGCGAGAGGACAAAACAGTCCAAGTCATTCAGATTGTTCCGGGACGTCTATTGGTACACGTGGCCTTTGGATCAAAAGTGGACACGGAGGGTCCCGTGATGAGGAGGCCTAGGCCCTCCTTCCTACGTGGTATATGTCTCAGGTGCTGGCCGTTGCCTCCAAGGCCTTGGAGGCAACGGCCAGCACCTGAGACATATACCACGTTGGGAAGGCCGTGGAGGCAACGGCCACATCCTGAGCCGGACCCTACGCTGAGGGGGTCTTGGAGGCGGCGGGGACCGCCTGGGCCGGGTTGACACTGGATCTGAGCGGGAGATTCTGAGGTAATCTCTGATACGCTGAATGCACATGGAATTGCGATCATGAGTGATGGAATGGCCGGGATTGAAAGCAAGGATCGAGATGGACTGACCATCGAGATTTTAGGATCCATGAATGGGGTCACTAAGCTGGGAATAGCATTACTTACAGATTTGGGCGCTGAGTCACCCAACCTCTAATGTCCCACGACTACGCACTTTGAGGGAGTCAGTAGGAGAGGTGAATCGAAATTCCCTAGCAAGAGAAGGCACTCGAAAATGGGACAGCTCCGTTACAGGGTTTGACGCATGGGTTGATGTAAGTTTTGACATCATCATTTTCTATCAATTTCTATGATGACAGAACTATAGCGAGATACGCCCTGGTTGCTGTTCTGTTCACATGACTGACCATATCATTATTCAGGTGGCCATTGGCCACCGTTCAAAAAAAGTGTGAGTGTGGGGCAGACCAGTAGACGGCCCCTCCAAAACGAGGGGCCGTCTACTGGTCTCCCCCACTCACACATTTTTTACGCGGGTGCCCCACCCCCCGATTCAGAGAGGACCCAGTTGGGCGGTCTGGGGATAAAAAAACTGACTGACAGGGCGGGACCTGATATGGCAGCCCTTGTACAAACATGAGGCAGTAGACGGGACCCATTTTGGGCAATCTACTGGTTCAAAATTATGGGGAGAAAAGTGAGCCAGGACTACGGCTATGCAACTGCAAGCTATATTCCAGCATGATCTTGGCTGGTCTGACTGAGGAGCGTCTTGAGCCACGGCCTGAGCCCTGTGATGCAAATGGGCTCAGTAAGTGCCTGTTCTAGTGCGGCCTATACTATCAGCTTCACCTCACATGTCACCGGTTTGAGGTGATGATGTACTGATCTGATTGTCCCTCACTTAAGGAGATAATCTACATCGCCCGTACTTTGTGGCCTTGTACGTGTCTTAAGATGGGCCTCAAAAATACGAACAGATGCGATCTCTATCAGATGATGTGTTGTCAACAAGGAAAAGGATTAAAATGCCGGGTCTAAGATAATCACTGATGGATTTGGCAGCTGGACCGGTAGCAATGTCTCACTGAAGGTAGTCGGCTTTTGTCATGTCCGAGACTTTCACCGTTCATGGTCGTTTGAGTTGATATTGCTAATACCCCAGTCTACCCGGGGGAGGGGGGTGGGGGTGGGGGTGGGGGTCGAATGTGAATTTCTTACTCACGTGGGGGCGCGTGAGTTTCGTTGGGGCACGATGCCACAGCTGTGACGTTTTGTAAAGTATCCTTGTCGAGATTGGTACTTTTCATCCATACATCCGTATGATCTAATCATAGTCTCTGCATCTTTATCAGTACTGTAGTTGTATGTATAATAGATCAATGTTGGCGCGGGAAGATGTGTGATGCCCAGGTGTGATTGGAACTGACGAGATGAACCTGTGGAGATGTGCGGATGATTGCTGACGATGACCTGCCGCTTGTGGAGTTGTGCCGGAAGATTGCATGACATGATGTGCCATTTTGAAAACGTGCCGTAGCTTTGAAGATGAACAGATGACGTGCCATAGCTTTGAAGGTGACGAGATGACGTGCCGTGGCCTTGACAATGCACCGTAAGTACTGTCACCGCTGCGTGTCGTTCGGTGGATGGCGACGCTTTGTTTGACAGCTATTTGTATGCTGAAACGGGGCTTCGCCCACATTCATCAGAGCGATTCGCATATGCCCTTTATTACAACAAAATTGCCACGTCTCAAACTAAAGACCCACCGATGTAGCAAGCGATTCATCTTCCTAGTTTCCACTATATTCCATAATCACGAAACTCACGCAGCACTGACACCCCAGTGCGAAAATGGACAATGCGCCCTTATATTGTTCACAGCCATGGCACGCCAACAATAACCACTCATTCGTTTGTTAAATAAAAAGCGCGAAATTCCTGGTTGTTGGCGTCCAAAAGGACCCACATCTCAAACTAAAGACCCACCGATGTAGCAAGCGATTCATCTTCCTAGATTCCACTATATTCCATAATCACGAAACTCACGCAGCACTGACACCCCAGTGCGAAAATGGACAATGCGCCCTTATATTGATCACAGCCATGGCACGCCAACAATAACCACTCATTCGTTTGTTAAGTAAAAAGCGCGAAATTCCTGGCTGTTGGCGTCCAAAAGGACCCAATCACCCAGTGACTGACATGTGAGTGCACAGAATCTTTGCCGCAAATTGAGTTTTTGCCACACTGGCAACAATTAAATCATCTGCCACGCCAAGGGCTCGTTCCCCACCAGCAAAATATTGCTTTGGCATGGCTGATACGCCACGTAGCGACTGCGCGTGGCCACCATTCAGATCTCCGCTTCTTTTTATCTTTCTATCCAATTTCCTCCTAAAAAGCGGAAGTGCTTCCCTATTGGTCACAATTATGACCACCGCTTCATACGAAACCCCAGATGCCATCTGCCTATTTGCTGCCACCCATGAATGGAAAATGAAGAATACTCCACAGAACCCAAGAGCTCAAAATCTGCATCAAAACCCCCTGATTCTGCAAACCTAAAGCTCATCATGCCCCTCCCTTGACATCTGACGGAGCCACTCTCCGTGCAGCCTCATGTCCAGGTACACATCCGGCTTGCCTGGCACACCGCAGGGCGCCCCATCGATGTTCAGGCCGATGAGGAAGTCGAAGGCCGGTGACCCCGACTCAATGTCGTAGCCAGGGGCATCCAGCAGAAGCAGCGGAGCCCCTGAATCAACTGCAAGTGCAGACATTTCCTTTACATTGGTCGCAATCAGGCAGACTGGACTTAGTAATTCAAATGCGCAGGCCGCCCATTAGCATAAAATTGAAAATTGAAAGTGACCATACAAACACCCAGCAAAGGGCCAGCAGATCACTCTTCAAGGCATAAATTTGGCACTAACCAGGTTCAAAATGACGGATCAAGGGGTACGTGGTCTGGCCCCCTACATACCGAAATTTAGAAATCGCCGAAATTTAGAAATCACCGAAATTTAGAAATCGCCTCCACACTACCACAGCCTGCAAGGAATACTGGCCATGCGCGAGACGAATCTGTAATACGTCGTGCTATTGCGTCCCCTTGTGGTGTGGGTCTCCTTTGTCAGAAAAATGCATCCATTCATGGTGGTTGCAAGTTGCCACTGAACTCTCCAAAACTCTGGCAGTTTCCAATGTCGCAGTTGCGATGGCACTTCAACTTCTGCAGGGCACAAGAGCATAGTGTGGAGCACCCAGCAGTGCAATAGCAGCAGGTGATTGCTGCCATGACATACTGTTCTTAGCGTGTGGCATAAATATACACACATTTCTGTATGGTTTGCATCATTCGCAACAGATCTTTAACAACACCATTCGATTCCGTCCTCCGATCTGCTGTCCTGGCGCCTTGCGCAGACATTCCTTGTTTCATTGCATTCTGGTACACATATACCTGCTTTCCAAGAAAGTGTCACAGTCTCTCTTTGACACAAAAGCCTTCTGAGTGCATAGTTGCAATGAGCACGTTTTTGACCTGCAATAAGGCGATTGCTATCGAGGGCGCCACTCATACCCAGTGCTTCTTCTAGGTGCCTTCAGCAATTCTCACCACCGGGTGGGAACCAATCTACTCATTGTGTCCAAGCTCGCGCGTCATCCCAACGGCACAGCTGAAAGCCAGTCGTTTGCGTGTCGGCCGAGCAAGGACACAATCCCTCTGCCCAAGTCAAGGATATGTCTCCAGCAAACTCAACATGACTGGCTAAGAATGTCAAACCCTATTGATTGCCAGCATACACACCGACACAGGATGCCTTGCGATCGCTGTTGAGAGCGCAGATCGTGTTGTCCTCGATGGACCCATCCCACAGCATCTTTCCATTACATCGTTTCCCATCGATGAATTCCTGGAGCTCCAGTCTCATCTCGCCGAAGATTGAGTCCCCAAGGGCTGGGCCATCGCCACTGGGGCCATATCCTGCAGCAATCAACTTCTGTCCAGTGCTCAGCTGAAACTCATCGGACAGGATTTGCGGCGGGGGCTGTTTTGACTTTTGTGGCAGCTTCAGCAGCGCAATATTGAATTGCGATCGCTGCTTCTTGTGGGGTATCCAGTGGCTATGAATTGTAGAATGCTCCGCCATCATTACCTGTGAATACATGAGGCAACGATGAAAAAGATGAAAATGAAGAGTTCGCATTTGATGCACAGACCAGAGGGCATAAATTGGCAGCTTGCAAGAATTTCACCCACTATTGGTGGGAGGTGGTGCTGGATATGGAACACCAATTGACTGCTACAAAGTGTGCACAGCTTTGAATTTGGATTGGATAGTCACAACTTCCGCTCTGGTGATACTACTCCAGACTGCTGTTGCATCTGCAGTGTCACGGGGGTGACATTTGCCTGCAAGCTAATTATGTGCATCTGTTCGTCACGGCTGTCAACAGATCCTGAACAGCAGAAGTCAGAAGCAAAGGCTTACCTCGGCTGCTTCACTATGAGGGTTGTCGGCATCCATGGCGCCCAGTCTGACGACTGGGCGTTGGGCAGCACTGTACGGTGACTCAGGGTCAACACAGTGTGCCGCTGTGAGCACGTGCCATGGGGATATGAGAATTCCAGTGCACACATGTTCTCGACTTCCTGGTCTTTCTATTGAAGCGACATATGGGAGGCGGCCCTGGACAACGGGAGATGATCCCTGCAGGCATGGATGAACACAGATGGAATTCACAAAAGTGAAACAACAAAACTGGGCTGAAGACATGTACACGAGAGGTAACAATTTGGATTGAAGAACTTCCCAGAAGGATTGATCTTGTGCTGGCAGGTCGAACACACCAATCTTCTGTCAGTAAGTGGTGTAGACACACTGTCTGAGCCATTCATGTTCATTCTGGGAACGAAAGGGTCCCTGGAACATGTCCAGGTCAGCAACTTGTCTGTGCACTTTGTGAATAGTGGGAAGTCAATCCAAGAAAAATGCCACCAATGGTATGTGAAATTGTACATGGTCTTCCAAATAACTAGTGTGAACATGGATCTTGATCTTTGTGGCGGAGATTTAAGTGATGTTTTTTCCTGGAGTGCACAATTCCCCACAAGCGTAAGTCCAGAACTCACACCACTTTTAAGGTATTGGCTTATCCCAAAATGCAGTTGCAGCTGAGCACTTTGGCACAGCAACCAACACAGTGCCTGCTGTGATCAAGTGCTCAGGTGCAACTGCATGGACACAGGGCTATCCATGCAGGTCCACACAACCTTACAATGTAAATGTCCTGCTGCAATATCTAAGTCACTGAAAAGGCAAAGGACTCTTCAATCAAGCCTCAATTCAGCAGTGACGATGCACTCAATTTCCATACTCACTTCAAGAAAATGTTGCGTGGGATACATAGAATATCTGCGTATTTGTTGCCTGTCCACATTTCACTCCCAAATCTCCCATGAGGACTCCCACACTATCCAGCGGATGCGAACCAAATACACCCAAGAGATTAACAATGCTCCGTGCCATTCCAACTACGCATATCTAAGAAGCTTTTGTTGATCTGTTCTGAAAGCCGCCAATGGATTCCCGTGCTCTGCACAACCCATTTCCTTGATGTCCGGCATCCACTATGTTAGCCGCCAGTTCAGCCCAGAAAGACACCAACTGATCGCCAGGCCACTGTTTGCACGTGAAAACACCTGTCCGGGATATCAGCGGGCTGTGCAATTGACACTGGTGAGCCTTCACTTGCTAGACTGAGAGTCAGATCGGCACAATGGGATGCCGCTCACGGGGTTGCACAGCCGCCTCTGGGTGCGGGCAGCTATGGGCCCGTGCTCCCCACGCAGAGAACCGTGGCGGCGCACGTGGGCCTAAAGGAAGGGGCCGAGGCGGGGGGTTGGGGTTTACCTGGGTCTCAAACAAGGTATCCGCTGTATCGGAAGCCGAAGAGAAGGCAACGCTCGCAAAGACTGCGCCCAGCCAGAAACGCACAGAAGTGTGTCTGGCACCCAGGGGTTTCTTATGCATCCAAGCCGCTGGCCACAAACGTCGAAGGCCGAACTGGGTTTGGGAAGTGGCCTAGTCTGACCGGACCTGAAGAACGGCTGCCTGGCGTCGAGCCAACGAGTACTTCAGTGGCACAATGAGACTTTCTCAGTTCGAGCCACACAATCGCGAGGCTTGTCTGTTGACTGCGCCGACGCGTTCGGCTCCCAGCCTTTGAACCCACCAGCGCCACCAGGGGGCAACAAGGACGCTGTCCGGGCTCGATCCAGATACCTGAAGAGGTGCGGTCATGTGGAGATAAAGAGGACCAAGGACCATGTCAAGCTCTCAACTTGGGCCTGTGGACGCTGCTTGAGGCCTCCCGCGCCCCGCACGTAAGCACCAATGCGGACTCGAGTAACATGTGTTATACAAGGGCAGCCAAAGACCACGGCCTGTTTAGCTGAGCCACAGGCCCATCCAAAGGGTGCTTCACCCTCGTTGACAAGGGGCTCACCTCACCGTCTCCTATATTTTGGGGTCCCGGTACACCACCCTCTCAGTATCGTCAGGTCAATAGCGCCCCAGTTTTCGGCTTGTCATGTTTTTTCGTAGTACAAGCGCAGCTCTGTTGAAGGATGGGACCTCAATCAGTGTAAAGGACACTCAAACACGCCCGGTGGATGTCTGTTTTCTATCTGTAACTTTCATTGGCCGCTCACACTGTCGGTTAGCAGGCCTAAACACGAGGTGCTTGTAATCAATGTCAAGTCAGCGGGGGTTGCCACAAATAGTTCAAGCTATGCCATGTGGAGTGGGATCCCAAATTTCCACTACGTAGATAGAAACGCATAAAATTGTTTATGAATATGGGACTCTCCGCACACAGTACCTCGTAATAAAAACTGCAGGTTAGCAATGAAGTTAAACTATGTACTGCGTCTGTCCCATGTTGAATTTCGTCTATGATTTTGGCGCATTATTGCTCCATCATAGAGAGTTCGCTTTTCAATGATATTTCCTGGAAAGCCGTGCTTGTGAGTTACATCTGAACAAAAATCAAGTCAATCCATTCAATATTGTTGTTTTGTCAGTCCTTTGTAACAAGGGTCCTCTACTTAGCTAACCTCGAAATTTTAGCTCAAAATCGATCAAAGTTCACATTTCACCCAACGCTTAAAAGGGGTCGGGGCCCATTTTCTGTTTGAAAACTGGTGGTTGAGGTTTGTGGGGCCCCATGTTTCCGTCTCTGTCCTCATTTCACTGGTAGATTCCGGCCAAATTACACGGTCCTGCTAATTTTCTACGGTGTTTTGCGTGTAAAATTCGTGTACCAATCGTGTACTGATCGCAAAGTACATGGCTGTGGCTGGTACACGATTGGAATCGTGTAAAACCGTGTTCTTTATCGTGCTGTCCATGGTGGCGAGGTTGACCATTTGGGTGTATACAGTACGTACTGCATAGGGCTGAAAACTGCACGATTTTAGCAATCGTGTAAAGTTGAGCTCCAAAACACACGATTTCACATGATCGTACAACGTGTAGAATTATCTAATTTTTACCAGTGTTTTGCAATTTTTGGGCGGTCCTTGTAGAGAATTTGTCTTTCAAATACAAGACATTTATTTTGGGATAGGAAGTAGCATACACCCAGTACGCTAAGTGCCCAGCTAATGGCGATCATGATATACTCAAATAAGCTGAACGTGAATGGTCCAAAGGCAACGGCAATAGACCGAAGAACGGGCCCTCCTTTGCTGGCGCTTGCATGGCAGTTTTGAATACCCGCTCTTGCAAGCTTGCACCTTCTTACTGCACAGGCTTGTTATTTACGCTTAGGTTTACGTTTTAACGCAGAAAACTAAAAGTTTGCAAGAGGGCTATTTTGCAGCTGCAATTACGTTTTTTGCGGCTCGTTGGGACGCATATGTTACACGATAAAGCCACGTACAATGATCAGTCATCCGGCCCCAATTGCAGCAATTGCAGCATGGTGTCCACCTGGCCCTCGGAAAGGGAGACGACGCCGTCGAGCAAGAAATCGTTTTCTGCCCACTCCGGGGCGTCTGGCTGCTACTCCCATGACTCTGCAAATCTATACATACTGTATTTATGTACATGGACATTGTTTACGTTGTATTTAGGTATTTTGCCCCCTTCTTACGGGATAAGACCTAAAAAAATATGCGTAAAACGTAAATACAATCTTTGTTTGCGTTGTAAATATAAATGCGAAGTTTTGCAAGCCTGTTCCTGCGTATTCCACGGATTGGAAGTAATTGTTGCTCGAATTTTTAAAGGAACCAGATGCCAAAATATGTCGCAGTTTTGCGTCTTTCTGCAGTGGCCACGCGGCATGGCCCATCCCCATATGTCGTGGCATCATATTGTAGAAAAGAGCGGAATCTGTGCATGTGGATATATGGGATAGCTGGCAATTTCTGCTTATCTTTTTCGGTTTATTCAACTTCACGTAAACGTCGGCATTGGTAATGTTGCTAATTTCTGAATGCAAGCTGACGTGTTTTAGTACATTACGTTATATAAAATGCAAAAGCAATCCTTAGCAACGGGCCGTGCCTTAAACGCCACACCTTCGCTTCCTCCTTAACCACCCTTCAACAAGATATACATAACTCCCAGTGGGGGTTTCCCATCTATCTATGGAATAGTCCGCTTGGTCCGAAGCCACGGAGGGACGAGAATATGGGTGTGAAGCCATTCTTGATGTTGCAAAAGGGGGATGGGGTGGGTGGGCTGGACGTGTGGGGCCTCAAGCATCCGAACTTTCTAAACTTCTCGTAAAGGTGCATGTCCCTATCCGTATAGTCAATTCATGCCAATTATGCAAGCGATTGCTCCTGACACCATCCAATGGGCAAGTCGCCAAGGGCGACTCACCTTGGACAAAAGCAGTATTGTTATCTACTTGAATCACAACATTTGTGAAGTTGCGTTTTTACGCTTAAATATTTTCAAACACATAAACGACTACTTCTAAGGCCAAATTTACGTAGTTTTACGGCGCGATGAGACGCGCAGTCTACAAGATGAAGCTGCAGACAATGATCAGCTCCCCGCTCCCTCGAACACCCGCAACGCAGCATCCTCTTCAACCTCGGCAAGGGCAACAACGTCATCGTGCAGGTGGCCGTTTTCTGCCGACTCCCGCGGGTCTGGCTGCCATTCCCCAGACTCTTTGAGTTGTTCTGTATTTATGTAACGGGGCCAGTATTCACGTCCTAAGCAGTAATTTTACCGTTCTCACGCGCATAGAATATAGGTACTAACTTTGTGCGAAAATACACAAATGCACGGTGCGCTTGCGCCATAAATGCAAGCTTGAACACGATGGTAGCCGCAATGGCTCGGATGAAACGGGTGTCCATGCAGCTCGTCACACAAATCCTGGAGACCCTGCAACTGGGGTGGCTACAAGGTAACAAGAGAGGCAGATTTATCGCAATGCGATCTGAGCTGGACAACTGTCAGTAACTGTGCGTTTATGTCAAATAGTCATTTATATACAAGTCTGAACAAATTGGAGGACAACAGGACCAGAACAAATATCCGCAGGTCCAAAAGGGTCCGCAGCTTTAAATCATCCAAATGCGGTTCCTTTATCCGTAATTTGGACATTCAGAGCTTCGACATAGCCTCTGTGCGTGGCTGAGCGGCGTATATCAATTTTTAGCACACCGTCGATTATGTAAGCGTTAGCATGTTTATGGTTTCACTAACATTCGCTCGAGGCCGAACTCGCAAGTAACGATGTTTTTCTCCAACGTAACACCTGTGAATAGATTGGAAGGTTTTCTGTAGAGTTTGGCGGATGTAGCGGTGGCTTGTCATTGCTATAAAGGAGAACTTAGGATTTTCATGCAAATGGTATGTTGGTTACATCGATTAATGTGCCTCTAAGGCAAGCAGGCTCCCGCCGTACTTAAGCGGCGTCATGGATGCCCGTCAGCACAAGCAACTCGCACTCGGCGTTTGTATCAAGCTGGAAGCATGTCACTCATGAGGCACCGCTATCACAAAATAGGAGGTTTTTTATTCTGTTGAAAAGTTCCAGGAGAAAAATGAAAATACCGATGCTTTTGAATGCTAATTTCGCCAATACCCCCCACTGCGAGACCCGGGGTGCAGCACAAAACATTGGGGATTTTGAGACGGCCCTGCACAGCCCCCAGCGTATGTCGGGCACTGAAGATCGAATTCGATAACAGTTGTTGGAAGGCTGGGTCCTATTGTGAACGGGGCATTTGCACCGCCAACATGCTATGTAACATAGCCAGGTCAAGCAAAACATTTTCCCACCTTTCTGTAGGTTATTTTAACTCACATCCCCTTGGAAACCGCCACACTAGGCACTGCCTAGTAGGCGGGCAGTTCTGTAACCTCTGATGATGCGATAATGTCCATGGTATTTCCAGCTATCGCAGTCAAGCTGTTGCATCAGATCTGGCAAGTCTGCATTTTGCAAGGAGTTTGGCAAATCTTTGCCGCGCATGGACTGGCCTGTGGGCTCCAACTCGCTCATGGATGCGAGCCCAGCCTGCCGTGCGGAATGTTTGATTGTGGCATTAGGTAGTTCAGTAGCTCCTGTCGATGATTATCTGTGTTATAAAGGAACCACCAGTTTTGGTGGAAAATCTCTACTCCCCCTTCCCCTGTTTTAAGAGCTTTGCCAATGAGACTGGCGCCACCTTGTTAGCCGTTGTTATTACCATTAGCGATATGTGCGTCCCTCAACGTCGGGAAGCCAGTCCAATGAGCTCTCGGGCTTCTCGACCAGCTCCAATGTCGCCCTGTGCAGTTTTGCATGTGGCTCACGAGTGGCACTGGTGGTCTTGTCATATTCAGGTCGTGGTGAATGGGCACCCAAAATTGTGCGACAGAGTGGCTGTTCCAACTGAATACCATGGCTCCTAACATATACACATTTCCAACATTGGCGGCTCAGGGTCACAATGTTGTGGCAAATGCCTCCAATGCCAACGCCGCTTTTTAGTCCCGAGTCAGGCAGAGTTGTCAGG